TTGTTTGCTGGAGACGGAGCCCGAGCACCGTTTGGCTGTCCACATGAATGATCCACGAAAAGTGTCTTTATATCTGGATTTGGCCTAGGATTCTTGCAAAGTTGGTGCTGCCAATTCAAACTGAAATTCACAAGGAAAATCCGGTTTTGTCAACTTACAACAGAGAATTGAAAGTAATCACTGGCAATTAAAGTGCTATGTAACATAACGACTGCTGACAGTAACCACCAATGAGCAATGAGCAAGAGCAGTCAGCTCCTACTACTCTGTAAATAGGGTACTTGTAAGAGGTTCAGTCAGATTAAACCAATTGTAAATAAGTATTCGTTAAAGTGTTTCATAATTCAAAGACACATCTTCAAGAGCAAAAAAAAAAAAACAGAATGTGTAAGGACTACTAGCAGTTTTGAAAGTTAATGCACAGTCCTAATTGCCGCAAAGGAAAATCCTTAAGACAGGTACTGCTGCTTCATTGAATTATACAGCATTCCATGTAGACTCACCTTTGATTTATCAATGTCCTTAGCCTTGAATTTTTTAGGTTAGGAAACTGCAATTTATCACGAAACAGTGGATTCGCTTCAATAAGCTTCTTGAGTTCCACCAACATTATTGCTCTTGCTGACTTTGTATCCCCATACTTGGATAGTTGTTCATTCTCCCTGAAATATGAAAAAACTATTCTCAGCTGATACAACTTAGCCTCCATTACAATGCCTGTTAAATCGTTTCCAGAGGCTCATACCTAAAATTCTCCAAAGTCAACAACTGAGTTATCTCCTTGAAAAGCTCCTCATTAAATGTGGCAAACACTTTCAAATCCTTGACAAGTATATCCACTGCCTTGGATCGGTCATGCCTAGCAAAATTTCAACACTTTCATCAGGTTGCAGAAAAACCAAATATATAACTAAATCCACAACATTGATTTCGGAACTGGAGAACCGGAAGCTTACTTATCCAATGCTTCAAGGTACTTCTGCTTCCTTATTTCAAAAAATATTTTCATTGAATAACGATTATCATCAACCTTAGTGAAACCAGAGAGATATTTTTCCACCTCGTCCCAGTTACCATTATGAACTTCATCCTCAAAATACTTCATGTTGAAGTAAAACCCAGATTCCTGCTCAAGCCTATATAGAGTTCGAAGCAACATGCACAATAAGTCTTCTCCATTCACCAAACTGACGAGTAGGAGCAACTCAATAGGTAATTAAGACTGAATGAAAGAAGAAAAACATTACTTGTGCACAGTCTCCTTGAACTTTTCCTCGTCAAGGAACTGCAAGATCAGAAAAACCAGCTCTCTACTGAGAGACGACATCTTAAATGCCCCGTATTAGCTAGCAAATTCCTGCTTGTCTCCAAAATAGCACTAGATCTGCGGGGGGAAAAGTAGGGATCCGAAAAATTACTAAAAGGGCAGCTATAAATGACACAAATGGTAAAAAAACACCTAATCTTTTTACTTAAAATCCACGAAAACTTAGCAGCTCTACCTAAAACCAGATCATGGAACCAAACCCAAGTCCTCACGTACTCCAAAAAATAAAAAATCGCAGCTTTCGCACGGTAATTAACAAACAAAGGTGGAATCAGAAATCGGCAGCAAACCCCCAAAGCAGAATAAAAGTTTGAAACAAAAAAAAATTAGGGTTTCGTGATACTTTAGGAGAAGGGGTTTGCTAGCATCCGATTGGGAAATAGGAATCTCAGATACAACGAAGCCAGGAGATAAGGCAAATCAGAAAACAAAATGAAGGTAAAGTAAGTGGAAAGCGATAAGATTCCATAACAAAGGAGTTCTGTAACTGCAGAGCTAAAACTCACCTTCTCCAACAGCAAAAGGAACTAATTTCATCCAAGAGCTAAAAGAGATCAGCAAACACACAGCTCCCCCCACCGAACTGAGAGAGAGCTAAAGAGAAGAAACTTCTTCTTCGTCCTCTCTCTCTCTCTCCTCCTTAAAAAGCTCCAACTTTCTCTCTCTACAAATCAAAACCCACAGCCAAAAAAAAGGCGTAATTTCTTATCTCTCCTTTTCCCTCCCCTGTGTCTGCACGAGACGAGAAGAGACGACTCTCTTCCACTTTGAAGAATTATTATGGATCACACAAACGTTTATATATATGTCAAAGAAAACTTGCTGGGAATATCAATTTTATTTTATAGAAAAGACGGTTATAAGGAGAGTGATAAGTTCAGCAAATTATCACTTGACTTATATCATATTGAGTGATAAGTGCAGTGATAAGGTAGAGCACTTTTTCGGCATTAACTACAGGGTCTTTGTTGTGGGCCCCAGTAAGCCGGCTCTCATTTTTGTCGAGTTTATCGGCGCGGAATCTCCCGGCTGACAACTGCCTCAACTCAGCGGTGGGAAATGATTCGGTACAGATGAGGCACAGGATAAGAGCTTTAGCGATGGGAGGCGGATGGGGAGTGGACGGAAGTTTGAGGTGGGATCCGACGGCTGTAATGAGACGGAGGACGTGAAGCTCGGAGTGCTCCACAATATAATAGAGTTATATTATTGCATTTTTCTTTAATTTTAAAAAAAATAAAAAACTTGTCCCAGATCAGGATCCCATGGCGAGAAAAACGACAAGCTCTTTCCCCTCGGATTTGACGCGAGGGAAAGTTTTGCCCTTCGAGTTGGTCAAATATTGCCAGTCTTCGCCACTAGGTCAAGTTAATAGTCCAGCTCCTCTTCCTCCCTATCTCTGTTTTGAGTAATTAGTATAAACCTTTGTACTTAATAAAAAATGTCAAATTTTTTTAATTTGTAATGATACGGTAATCAAAGTTTGAAATGGTCACTTTTATTTAATTTGTGATCGTTTTGTATTAATTGCAAAGGTTTGTTACCAAGTCATTACAAATTAAAGGTTTGTGACTGTTTTAGGGTTGGACCGTGTGTTCGTCAAGTATATGACACTAATCACTTAATGACATATGAGATTTTGGGTCGTGTGTTCTTAGGAACGGAGCTAGCTTGAAGGGAGGAGGGGCTACGTTATATATATACCCTGTAAATAGCTGAACATTAAGATCTAGTGTCCCAACTTACTGGTTATGGGACATGATTTTTAGATCAACTCCACTGTGGAGTGGTGGGTTCGATCCTCCACCTTTGCATAAGCTCTTTAGGAGAGGGGCAGGATACGGTGACTACCCTCAAAAGGGTTTGATTTTTGACACCCCCTTTCTTATTGGACCATTTTTCCTTAATCATTTGATAAGTATTAATGGAAGTTGTAGAATTTAACACTCGCATTAAATACACATTGGGATTTAAATACCCCATATTAATTACTTGCTTTTTTATATTTAAACCTATACTAAACACAATTCTCTCTCCAAAAAAAGCAAATAATCCCTCTTCTCTCCTCCCTCTCATCATATGCTTCCGCCGTTATGATTTTTCGATTTCTGATGTTTCAGATCTGACTTTTCGATTTTTCGGTTATGATTTTTGTACTACTGCACTGATATTTGTACCACTGCAATTAAACTCATATATATGATATTTTATACAAGTGCACTGGTAACGTTATCAATGCACTGGTAGAGATACCACTACACTGGTAGCGATATCAGTGCACTGGTACAAATATCAGATCTCAATTTAAATGTGGTGGTAGAAATATCAGTGAAGTGGTACTAGGTATCACTGCACTGGTACATTTTTTTAATGTAATGGTACATTTTTGTGGGTGGCCGGAGGAAGTCTTCCGGCAAGATTTCACCGGAGATGTGTGGCGGTCGGAGGGTGCTGGAAAAACGAAGAATGAGAGATAGGGAGAGAGAATTGTATTTAATGTAGGTTTAAATTAAAAAAACACAAGTAATTAATATGGTGCATTTAATTCTCTATGTGTATTTAATATGAATGTTAAAATTTATAGATTACATTTAATACTAAGGGGGTGTCATTTTTCCAACTCCTTTATGGGTTAGCAAGCTAACCGAACCCGAGACATGGAATCAGCCGTCTCCGAGCAATCTCCCAAGCATGCCATCACCTGGATCTTCACCATTTTTGTCAAGTGTGAAGGTGGAGCTCTGCCCGTGGCTGCTTCCCCATACAATCGCCTCCAGCTTCCTCTGTTTTTCACGTTCCAGACCATCTTCCCAACTTTCCTTCTTTCTTAATTTCCAACTCGAACCCTGTAAAGACTGTCACATCAAACCCCTAACATAGTCAGCAACATAAGCTTTCAAACCTGGTCTCGTTGTTGTCGGAGGAGTATTGATGTTGCTCTATTTGTCCCATGTTCCGTCACCCGAGGCCACAACAATAGAAGATGCAGTGACAACTTGTGCCGCAGTAGTTGTGATAGCCTCGGTGCTCCTGCCTTTCTCTCTCTCGTTTGCAACCTCCGCGTCCTTCTCCTTCAACTCAAGATTGATCGCGTTTCATATGTGGTCGGTAGCTTCCCCACCAGGGACTAGGGCTGTCGGTTCGGGTAACCGAACCCGAAACCCGTGAAAACCGAAAAAACCGAAACCGCCCCCTCACAAACCGAAACCGAACCCGAAATGCTCTTCTGTGGGTTTCGGGTACTGGAACCCGAATTTGATGTTGGCGGGTTTGGTTCGGTTCGGGTGAAACCGAAACCGAACCGGTTTGAGTTTTTTTTTTTTTTTTAGTTTTGTGATTTGAATTTTACATTGTACAAAACAATTTTATTCTTATTATTTGTACATTCTTATTTTACCATTATGTTTAATTTTATGGGACATGGACAGTATAAAACTAATATTTACATATTAGTTTATTATTAAAATATTAGTTAATTATTGAAATATTTAATTTTATGTATTCTATAACTATAGACATACTATTAACTATTAAAGAGTATTAGTATTTTAAAGACAAAGTAAAATACTTAAACATATTTTATACGTAACTTAATCATATCTTATTTAATTGTGGATTTTCGTATAATTAAATGTTTTAGTAATACCATAGGTCCAAAATTGAAGGTATATCAACTATCATATGCAAAAAAATGTTTGGTGTTTGGCGCAAAATTATAAATAATTTTGTTTAACATAAAATACGACAATCATAGATGAGATTATCTTCAACTCGTAATTAAACACATTAGTTTTACAATTCTCAAATGATAACATCCAAGTAAAATAAAAATTCATCCACCATACAAGATAAATACTACTACCATTATCACTCCTCATCAGGCTCTACATCTACATAAGTCTCATCATTCTCATCGGAATTGTTGTCGACATAGTCTTCTTCCATTTGTGACATAGTAGGACTCGAGACCAAAACATGGGTAGCAGGAGAGCTTCCACTGGGTCCTGCACGAGAGCTTCCACTAGGTCCTGCAGGTGCACTTGCACTCCGAGCTTGAAAAGCTACATATACTGGATAACATAAACAATAACAAATTGTTAGAATATGACTTGATCAAGATAACAAATATAAGAATAAAGAGAAAGATTAAAACCTTACCATTTTGAAATACCACTTCATCACCCTCATCTTCTCCATCAACCACCAACTCGGAGTCTGAAGATCTTATCCAATCTTCACAACAAATCAACGCCTCCACAACTTCAGGGGATAAGGAGGTCCTAAACGAATCTAAAACTCGACCTCCTGTGCTGAATGCCGACTCAGAAGCAACAGTGGAAATAGGAACAGCAAGAATATCCCTAGCCATCTCACAAATAGTAGGATATTTCATCCCACTTCGAGCAACAGTGGAAATAGGAACAAATCTCTTGATCCCATCCGATTACAATAAATTCGGTTCATAAATTTACGAGCAAGGAATCATGAATGAATTTCACAAAAGCAGAACCCATGAGTGAATTTCATAGGAGTCACTGGGATCGAGTAACAAATTAGCTATGGTAACAAGAACCCAGTAATAAATTGAAGCAATAGAAGAATTGTTCGAAGAGACTCACTGGGATTCCATGTTCGGAAGTAGGACTTGGATCTGGTTAGAGGCTTAGAGCTCTCGGTGCTAAAAGAGTGGTTGCAGGGGTTCTGTTTTTTCTTCACGTTTCAAATTCACAACCGATGGAAGGGGATGAGGTTGCCGCCTCCGGAGCCGACGCTTCCACCACCACTAATCGACGTCATTGAGATGAAATTGGATAGGAAGGCTCTGGTAAGGAGTAGCGCACAGTCGGGCCTTTGGGTATGGTTTACTGGATGGAAGCAGCTTGATTCCGGGAAAAAATGGACATAACTTTCCTTTGTGGCCACTCTCTCTGTGAAACCAGCAATGGAAGAAGACAAACGAAGAAATTGAGGAATGGGTTGCAGTGGCGGCGAGGACGATGATCGTGGCGACTGGCAACTGGCGAGGTCGAGGGAGCCCTGTTTCGTATGGCGAATTCGAAGAGCTGCGGCTGCGAGAAAGAGGACGAGGTGGAGTCGAGAATCGAGAGCTAGGGCTGAGAGACTGACTCTCCTCCCCAAAACGACAGCGTGAAGCGGAAGATGCCTATCAGTTTTCGGTTTTGCTTTCGGTTTTGCGGGTTTCAGCAACCCAAAACCGCAACTACAGATATCGGGTCGAACCCGAAAAAACCGAAACCGAGAATGAAACGAACGGTTCGGGTTCGGGTTAACCCGAAAACCCGAAACCGAATCGGCAGGCCTACCAGGGACTCATCGTCTTCCGTCCTCTTCTCAACTAGTGAAGAAATGGCTAGCGATGATGGTGATGTCAAAGGGAAGACAGTTGTTGTTGCAACTGCTTTCTCGGACTTCACATCACACCTGTTGTAGTTGGTGGTGTTGGCGTGTCTTTTGTGGTCGGCAGATCACCACCATCAACTCCTCCATTGTTGTCATTTCCAATGCAGTCAAAATCGGGATTTTGATCGTAAAATCGTAGGATTTTAGAATTTTATTTAGGGATTCCGATCCTGATTTTACTATAAAATCGGTGGACCTTAAAATCATTCAAAATCAGGATTAAAATCGTTAAAATCGTAAAATCGTACAAAAATCGGGATTTTCATCCTATGTGAAAATATGTGGTTTGAGACAATTCAAAAAAAGCAAAACTATTTCGGCGGAAAAACCAATGACGGGGATCTTCTCAGATATTTTTCCAATTAAAAGAACATTTGGAAAGGAAAAAAAATCAAATTAGGGTTCGGTCAACCCCTTTCAATTCCCCTTGTTTAACTCATCGGTAAAACCGTTGTAATAATATTATAAATATGTAAGAATTAACATTATTATTAATAAATTAATGAATATATTTGTACCAAATCAATGACATTAATTATTTTATTGGAGTTCACTTATTCTTAGTTTTAAATCATGCTTAGTAGATGATGTCGGAATACTACTTTGAGTTAAACTACCTAAACATAACATGAAAACAAGAGTCAAACCCCATGAGCTCTATCCCTTTCTCATAAATTATTTTGAGTTACACATTAAATAACAATTAAAATGATGATTCTGGAACATTAATCTTGAAAATTATCATTTTAGATGTTATATGTCTTTGTCTTATTAATAATTTATCTTATTAATATTATTATATGTTAATTTCTATATGGTACTTAAAATCCTACGATTCTACGATTCGATTTTACGATTCCGATTTTATCCCAGCTTTCGATTTTAGGTAAAATCCCGATTTTGACTGCTTTGGTCATTTCGATCTTCATCTTCAAGTCTCTTGTGAGTTCTCTAAGCGAAAGTTCGAAGCTTGCCATAGCTTCGGTGCAGATGCCTACAACCGAGCTCTGATACCACTATTAGAAACCCTCTTTCTAGGGCTTTTCCAGGGACTGATGTTCGACACCTGCGATTATTCTTAAAGATAGATATTAGGGATTGGGATAAGAAATTAGGAATTTAGATAGAAGAATTGTGGATTAGGGATTGAAGAACATAATTGGGATGATAGAGAAGAATTGGTCGGCGTCGCTTCGGAGAGAAGTAGATGAGATTTGAAAGGGTTTAGAAGAGATTAGGATTAAGTAGAGGTGGCAATTCTCAATCCAATCCACCAATCCAATTCACCAACCCATTAAAAATATCCACCTAATCCAATCCATTGGATTAGTGGATTCATGGATTGATCCATGGATCCAAATGGCAAATTATGGTTTGGTACCTATACATTTTATATTTTACATTTTGGTATCCAATTTAATTTTTTATATGAAAAATATCATTGAAAAATTATATTTTGGTACCTAAAATTTTTCATAATGACATTTTAGTACCTAAACTTTTCACATTTTACATATTGGTCCTTGGTTGAGGATGTCATTTGGATTCATGGATAATCCACCAATCCATGAATTCACCAATCCATTGGATCCAATCTATTTGATCCATGGATCCACTAATCCATGGATCAATCCATTTGCCACCTATAGAATTAAGAAATTATTCTTAATATTCTGCTTGATCCATTATAGATAAATCCAAACAAACATATTTATAGGAAAATACGGAGAAATCCTAATAAATAACCTTATCCAGCTAAATCTCTATTAATATACTAACACTTATCCTACTATAACTATTAAGAGAAACCCATAAAAAATGGGTTTCTAACAGCTTGTTGTATTTCTTAATTAAGCCAGCCTTTTAGATGAAAGGCTTTCCGATTGGAGCATTAATGGGCTAGCATAGCAATATAGCAGCAGCAAAAGCATGCTTATACTATTGATTCACACCTATAAATAAATGAAAATTAAGGTGAACATAATTAGTTTCTAGAGGTGGCAATTTTCAATCTAATCCACCAATTCAATCCATCAACCCATTAAAAATATCCACCTAATTCAATCCATTTAAATCCAATCTATTTGATCCAAATCCAATTGGATTGGTGGATTCATGGATTGATCCATGGATCCAAATGACAAATTACGGTTTGATACCCATACTTTTTATATTTTACATTTTGGTACCCAAAATTTAATTTTTTATACGAAAATATCATTGGAAAATTACGTTTTGGTACCTAAAATTTTTCATTATGACATTTTAGTACCTATACTTTTCACATTTTACATATTGGTCCTTGGTTGAGGATGTCATTTTGATTCATGGATAATCCACCAATCCACTTGATCCAATCCATTGGATCCAATCTCTTTGATCCATGAATCCATGAATCAAATCCACCAATCCATGGATCAATCCATTTGCCACCTTTATTAGTTTCATAAGAAAGCTGAAAAGTCCAGTGATGAGAAGAGATGTAAACAGATCCATGAAACCCAATCAATTCAGAAAAGTTTCTGAAACTTTTAACTGCAGATAGATCTTGCAGCTCCTCTTGAAGAGTTTTTTTCCAGAAATAGCACCTTTAAAAAAAAATTACAAAACTAGCACCCTCTCAAAAATATTTACAAAACTAGCACCCTTTTTTATTGACCGCACCCTCGTGATGCGATTTACATATAAACCGCATCCCCCAGGTGCGTTTTATATGTAAACCGCACCTGGAGGGTGCGTTCTAATCTGGTGGGCCTAAATCGCACCTTGGCAATGCGTTTTCATGTCTGGCCTACATGAAACGCATGGCCGAGGTGCGGTTTAGGCCTGACCTACCTAAACCGCACCTTAGAGATGCGATTTATTCCTCCAAGAACGAACCGCATCTGTAAGGTGCGGTTTAGCCATGTAAATCGCACCCCCTAAGTGCGGTTTACGTGCCAATTATTTTCCGACACCCGACACAGCATGCAGAGAATTATGCACGTAGGGCTGCATGGCTGACTAAAACCGCACCCTAGAGGTGCGGTTTTCACAATTTTTTCCCTATATAAGACTTGCCGGAAAACCTCTACTCTTCACACCTCTCATTCTCTCTTTCATTTTTCTGTTGTATATCTATATTTATTTAGTGTGTTTGCCATTAAGATTAACTCGTAAGTTTTTTTTTGTTACTTTTTATGCCATTAACATTAACTCGTAACTTTATTTTGTGTTACTTTTTATGCCATTAACATTAACTCGTAAGTTTATTTTGTGTTACTTTTTATGCCATTAAAATTAACTCGTAAGTTTATTTTGTGTTACTTTTTATTGTGATTTGTGATTTTTATGATATTAACTAAACTACGGTTTGTTAGTGTGCAGATGGCATTCCGTCAGTTAACGCTTGGCTTACGGTGGAATGGTTACACGGAAGAGACCGGAAAGGGGGCCACCTACGTCGGTGGCAATTTTCAGAAAATAACGGTCGGTACCAGACCGAAGCTTGAAGACCTCCATCAAATATGCACTGACGCAACTTGCATGGATGGCACGAGGAGGGTAGATCGTATGGTGTACCGATACCCAAACAGAGCAACTGGGTCATTGTGGCATGAGGAATATACCATAACCACTCAAGATGACCTAGATTCCATGCTCGAATTCTTGAGGTCCAACAAATTGGCCAAAGCCGAGATGTTCGTTTACACCGAGCCAGCCGTTGGTGTTGGACGTCATTCTGGATACGGTCAAACATCTCGTATCCATGGTGGAGGTGAATTATATGACGATCATCCCTACCAAAGTTACCATGATCCTCAATCCTATTTTCAGTACCAAGATGGAGGGCAAGGTGCTGGCCATCATCAATCTTTCTCGTCATATGAAGAAGAAGTTCAACCGGACATCCCCAACCAAGCCCAGTACAACTTCCTGACAGGCAGCGGTAGTTTTCACAACTACCATTATGGAGCTGATGAAGGTGCCTTTCATGAGCAGGATCAGATGGATTCTGCCACACCAGCACCAGTCAGCGACCCCTCTGATGAAGAAGGAGAGAACAACGTTAGTGCAGACAGCTCAGACCCTCTTGAAGGTGCTGATGATTCAGCACCAGATTCAGATTCAGATAATGATCATGATGTGGCTCCTGACCGTGTACCAGTCCCCTACTACAATCACATTCCAGACGACAATTGGATGGTCGACAGCGACATGGAGCCGCTAGAGGTCCCAATATGGGGCCCACTCACTGGGTTTACTAAGGGCCAACAATTTGGCTCGAAGAAGGATGTGCGGCACGCCCTTGAGACTGAAGCAATGACTCGGCATTTTGAATGGCACACAACTCATTCCAACACCAAAAGGCTCATAGTCAGATGCCGTAATCATCACGAGGGGTGCAATGTTAGGATTCGGGCCATCAACAGCAAGAGACACGGCCACTGGGTCATATCCCGTGCGGTCAACACACACACATGTGTGTCATCCATCACTTCCCAAGGCCATCGACAGTTGAAATCCAGGGTGGTTGCTGCGGCTATCAAGCATCTGATTGAGGCTGAACCGGATCTGAAGGTGAAAGTCATAATCGCTGACATTGCAAGTCGTTTTGGTTATATGATTAACTATAAGAAGGCGTGGCATGGAAAGCAGAAAGCTATGGCCGCCGTCTATGGTGATTGGGAAGAATCATATGCATTCCTTCCCAGACTAATACTAGCATTGGAGGCGTCTAACCCTGGGACTGTGTTCTCCCCTCGATACCAAGATGAAGAGATACAACCCCCAGAGGCAGGTAACGAACGCCATTTTCGCAGACTGTTTTGAGCATTCAAGCCTTCTATTGATGGTTTTGGCTTTTGTATCCCTGTGATTACTGTGGATGGTACATTCCTTACCGGCAAGTACAAGGGCACTCTCCTGATTGCCAGTGGGGCGGATGCAAACAGACAAGTCTTTCCTTTAGCCTTCGCCATTGTTGAGGGAGAGAATGCTGATAGCTATGGATGGTTTTTCCGACAAATCCAAATCCACGTCACCAGGAGGACGAACCTGACAATAATCTCTGATCGGCACGCCGGCATTAGAGCAGCCATCTTAGGCCTGGATCCAGCCTGGAATTGGTCCCAAAGGTGGTGCTTACGACACTTCAAAAGCAACTGGAACCATCATTTCAAGCGGAAGAAGCTAGCTGATAATTTGTGGTGGATTGGTAACCTCTCTATTGCTCTCAATTAACAATATCTTGTAATCTCGGGAGTGGTGCACTTGTTAGACTCTTTCTAAAGAGATGCATGCCTAAGGAAATGGGGTTTTAAGCGATTATGATGGTCCTCCCATTTCCTGGGAAAATCGGGTTTTAAGCGATCTTCGGATCCCCCCTTTTTCTGTCAAACAGGCTGTGTTTCTAAGGAGATGTATACCTCTCCTAAGAGTCTAACGAAAGTCTGACCGTGCAGTTTGAAATTGTACTAAATTGAGGATCATTGACTAACAGACGACTTTTCTGTGTGTTATTCAGCGGTTGCATACCAGGAGAAAAAATTTCAGGAGAAGTTGCAAAAGCTGCGTGAGTTATGCCCTGAAGGGGCACAGTGGCTGGATGGACACGACCTATCCATGTGGACATTTCATAAAGATGGAGGGAAAAGATGGGGTATTGCCACAACCAACTCAAGTGAGAGTATCAACTCTGTCTACAAGGCCGTCCGTGCACTGCCAATCTCTGCCATTGTGGAGATGACTCTTTGGAAAACGAATGCATGGTTCGTGAACCGTCTCCACTGGGCAAGGACAAACGAGGCACAGGGAAAGGTCCATGCCTATAAAGTCACTGAAATAATGGATAGTGACAATCGCAAGAGCAGTCGACATAGTGTAACCGTTATGAATCGGGCAACTGGTGAGTATAGCGTGACGACCGAACATCGGGAGGATGGTAGACGGGGGGGGCCACCGTCACGAAGTTTTGGTCAATTTCAGGACCAAAGTTGGTGAGTGCTCATGCCAGAAGTATCAGGGGAGAGGATGGCCTTGTTCTCATGCAATGGCCGTAATTAAAAAGAGGAGCAAAGACCCTCGTCACTTCGTTAGTCCATTCTTCAATATCGACTCACTCAAAAGCACCTATGGACGGAGTTTCCGTGCATTGCCTGATGAAGCTTATTGGCCGCTGTACGAAGGGAAATTGATCGTCCCGCCATTCAGACAGAGGCGTGAACCGGGGCGCCCGAGGAAAAAGAGAATTCAGAATGAAATGGATCAAAGTGGAAGACCACCACGAGGCCCAAGACGGTGTTCAGTATGCAAAGTTCCAGGACATGATAAACGAAGGTGTCCAGGACCGATTGGTCCGCAAAATCCGGGTGATGATGTGCCGGAATCAGCTAATGCGACTTAATTATCGATTATCATTCGTCAAGCTAGTTGTAACTCTTACGTTGCATTTAATTGTGTATTGTTGATTGAACGAATTGGGATTATATCAAGTGAAGAGGAACCATGATAATAACAATTTGATGAAACTCAACGAAATACAATAGATTAAATTAAAGGGAATAGTTCCAAGTACATAGAGATAAAAATCAACTCAAACTACATCTCAAGGAAGTCCACGAGCGGATGCGGAACCAACAGTTTTCTTGCTCCTTGTACGTTTGCCGACGGGAGTAACAATAGGTGGTGGAGGTGGCAAGTTTCGAACGGCCGAGGTAGTGTGGCGCTCGTCGGTGCTATGTCGGCGGGGAGCGTGCACTTCCGGGGTCGAGCGGGCGACATCGGCGCTCATACGGTGAGGAGTAGGAGGCCACTGCTGACCAGGAGGTCGATTCCATGGGGTGAACTCGTGTTGGCCTGTGGTGGAGGAGCCATCATGCCAAGTCCCAGATGATGTTTGGCGGGGAGATAGCCGGGAATCGTAGTATGCTCCGCGGGGATCGTTGTATGAGATCGGGGTGGGAGATAATGGGGCTTGGTGGAAACTCTGAGAGGAATGATGGAAGGTCGAGCGGGGATCGTAGTATGAGCTTTGGTGGTGATCGTTGTGGCCGGCATCTTGTGAAATAGTCGGGCGGGGAGATGGGGCGGAGGACGGGCGGGGAGCTTGGGTGGAACTCGGTCCGGCACCTTGGGTCGAACTCGGTCCGGCACCTTGGACAACCAATGGGGGCGGCACTCTCCACCCCCCAAATGGCGTTACCTCGGGCTCGATGGGCCTTTCCCGAACCCTCTTCGGCTTCTTTCTCTCGTATGGTGGTGGGGGTGCGGGAACATCAAGTTGTACTGGAGGTGGTGGGGGTGCAGCACGGGGCGGATATCTACGATGATCCCGGCCCTGAGCTCTGATACAGCCAAGTAGACTGTTTGCAATCCTCCTGATGAAGCCCACATCTTCATTGCCCAAGTCATTTCTTCCGATAGTAATTTCTTTAATCCGCTCGACCCCATCAGCCTAAATCACAAAAAAATAAAAGCGTTACAAAGAGATTTTAGGAACCAAGTAATAAATCATAGTATGTTTAGACTGGTTATACTTACTAATGCACCATCGGCCGCACCCTCCGGAGTCATGTAACGCACCGATGTTTGCCGATATCGATCCAAGTATGGGTCATGATACCCCATTCGGCCCACTTGATTTGGAGTGACAATATCCTGTAGTTGTCGGTTCTCCCAAATCGCGATGAATTCCTTCAACTTCGTGGGCCAATCGCGAGTACCTTGCCGACCATCTCGGCCATGGAAGGCCCTTTGACTTTCGGGGACCACCAACGGAATGCACTGTTCCCGACCAAACTGACGGAGGCATCGATCCGGCAAGTGCCACTCCACGGTCCCAAAACAAATTAGAGGAACCCTCGTGCACCATTGCCCGATATGATCGGGGAATTGCTGGAGATGCCATTGAACGATGTTCTGCGGGTATGGATCGAAGACGATCTACAAGAAAGAAATGAGTAACGTAAGATTAATTAATTAGAAAAATACATGTAATCCCATGAAAAACAAATAGAAATGGATCGCAGTATAGAAGTTACCTCTCCTTCCCAAAGTCGCTCAAACCTCCTCCGATACTCCTCCAACTTGTGTTGGGCAAGGTTGTCGCATGTTGTGTGTCCAAGCCACCTTATTAATAAGACAAGAATGAAACTACAATAAGATAAAACACAAGGCAAAATGTATTATGACTACATGATGGGGTATGAGAAGTTTACCTTGCTCCATAAGCTTCACCTCTTAGGGGATGATCGATTGGTCAATCCCTGTCTGGACGTTGGGCCGGTGCAAGCCATGGCATATGCTCCCAAGCCCAAAATTGGACGATGAACATTGCGCCGCCGACCTCCCTCACGGCTTTTAGAGACGCATTGCACAAGTTGTGGTAGATCATAGCTAGGCAAGCAGATGCCCAACTATACTCCCCCATCTCCTCCCAACTACTGAAGATGATCCTAAGCCATCCACAACTAAGGAGATTGCTTGCTTTCTTGGAGAAGAACACTCCTCCGATCATGCCTATGAGATAGACACGAGCATATCTCTCCTTCTCATCCTCCGGACTTTCCTCGGTAAGCGGATGACTCTCGTAATGATCTCTAAAATACTTCGTCAACCATGTAATTGAGACTTGGTGTTTCCTCAATGGTGGCATGCGATCGGTCGCATCAACGCAACCCTTCACCGGTACTTTCACTCCCAAATGACTGTGGATGAAATGCTGCCAACCGGTCATACCGTCACAATCCTCGGGGGGATGATCACTCACGCACACCGGTTTGCCGTCGATGGGCAGATGGGTTAGGATGGCGACATCCTTTAGCGTGATGGTGGCCTCTCCTTCTCTAAAGTTGAAACAATGGGTCTCCTTTCTCCATCTCTCGGCTAATGCGGTGATGAGTTGACGATCGATTTGGATGCCGTTAAAATGCCTAATCGAGTCTAACCGTGCCCTTTTGAGAAATGGCAAGATAGCGGGGTGGAATGGGAGCACATTTGTGGTACCCCTGTAGCGGATTATTGTTTGTGCCTCCTAGGGAAAATGTACACGTTAATTATTATTAGTAAGGGTTTTTTTTGTATAAGTAAATTAATTTAATTAAATTATGCGACATAAAACATAATTTTATTATCATAAAAAGATATTTCATATTATCATAAAACATTGTCAATGAATAATAATTTAAAGAGGTACATACATATTATCGTAAAACAAACATACTGAATTAATTAACATAAATAACATTGTTAATGAATAATAATTTAAGTAGAAACATACATATTCAAATGTTTGGTAAATAATTTAATCGTATTAGTTGTTTTAAATAATTTAATCGAATACAAAGCAACACTCCTTAGACTCTTAGAAGAGGTATACATCTTCTTAGAAACGCAGTCTTTTTGACAGAAAAAGGGGGGATCCGAGGATCTCTTAATACCCGATTTTCCCAGGTAATGGGAGGATATGATAATCACTTAAAACCTCATTTCCTTAGACGTGCATCTCTTTATAAAGAGTCGAAGTAAGTGGCGCTATGTATTCGATTAAATTATTGAAAACCACCAACACGATTAAAAAATAAACATAAATTTATTTTATATTACACTAGGCACATTAACAAAATAAAAGAAGGACAAATGGTGAAGAATTGTATGTACCGGGTGATCGTTCCAAACATCCCTTGACCGATGGTTGGGTTGGTCGTACAAGTCGGTTGGATCCACCGGTCCTTGCTCAAGATAATACCTTTGGTTGTATATATCGACGTCCTCCCCAACCTACGAGAAAATAACTAGGTTAGTACATAGATTAATTAAAAACTTATAACAACAATAAAAATTAAACCAGAATGATGAGTACATACCGCTTGAAATTCATCGACATAAACTCCTTCTCCTTGCCACCAATCGGCCATTTTTTCGGCGCAATTCGGACAGAGCTTCGGCTCGGCTCGGCGGGTTTTTTAGGAAAAAACCTAAGAAATATTTTCTGATGGCAGATCGGACTTAGCCGCAACCAACAAACTTTTATTTCCTAGACTTTTGGGAGGGGAGGGTTTAGAGAGATGACTTTCTAGAGAGAGAAGGAAGAATGGGTTGTGTGGAGTGAAGAAACTCGAGGGGGAAGGGGGGTATTTATACCCAACAGATCGCACCCCTCAGGGGCGGTAGGGTAATTTTACCCCGTGTAAATCGCATATCCCCAGTGCGATCTCAGCGCCAAATCGCATTGCCCTGATGCGATCTCCGCGTCCCGAGGCGTTGAACGCTCGGTAAACGGACGCTCCACTTTTCCAGGCGAGAAATCGCACCTCGCCAGTGCGATCCACAATAATCCGCGCGGATTGCTGACGTGGCTATGCTCCAGCCCGTTGGATCGCATCTCAATCGTGCGATCCGGAAGGTCGCTGGCGACCAAATATGGAACGCATCTTGGGGATGCGTTTTACATTAGAAATCGCATCTTAGGGGTGCGATTTATACTGAAAACGCACCTCTAAGGTGCGTTCCATTAAAATAGGTGCTAGTTTTGTAATTATTTTTGGAAGGGTGCTAGTTTTGTAATTTTTATTTTTAAGAGTGCTATTATTGGAAAAATCTCCCTCTTGAACCCCATATTATGTAGCAAGGAAGTAGATTTTGTTTAACTTAAACAAACAATATAGAAAGACAAAGCACACTTAAGTCCTCATAGAATCCTCCATAAAATATAGGATTTCTCAATAAGCTCTTATCCGTTTCAAATTTTCTTGCATGTCATGTGTCCACATCAGCACTATTTTTTTTCTCTCTCCTTTTACATCGGATAAACATCCTGTTTGTTTCTAGGAACCGCTAAAATATTTTTTTTTAACTTCTTACAATTTTTAAAATTTTCCCTCTGTACATCCGGCGTTAAGGAGTTTACCAAAAAAGCTAATAAATATATTAAAATAAGTAAATCACTCCCCCTTTTCCTTCGTTCTCTCGCACCAGATGTGTAGAAACCTTTTTTTACTAGAAATCATCATGCATAACTTAGTAATTATCCTTTAAAAAACAGAAAAACAATTCAACTTATTAATTACCAGTAATTGTGGCATGCTATAAAATATTAAGGCGTTCTGTTCTTATGATCATGAAAAAGTGCATAATTGATCCATAGAATCGTGTTATTATTTTATTCTCAAATTAATAATTTGTGTCTCACCACGTCAATCCTAATTATTATATTTTAGAAGGGATATACTATAAAAATCATCCCTATAAAACCACTACAATATCCTATCTTCTACCATCCATCCCCTTTCCTCATCAAAGCTAGGGGGTTCAAAGCCAATTATAGTTTTATTTACTTTTATTTCAAACTGATTTTTCTGCATCGTAAATATGCTTCTTTCTCATCGTTTTGCCTATTTCAGTATTTTGCCTATATGGGTGATAGTTTAAGATGTGACCAAAATAACAAAAGTTTAGTGATTCAAAGGCGATTTAAGTTTAATTAGTGTTAACAATTACAGTATGCTATTCATAAAAATATTATGGTACTAAGAATATGTGTGCCTAAGAATCTCTAATTTGTTGAAGGATTATAAAGACGTTATAAATTCCCATGACATGACGTAACGCTTTGAGAATTGAATCATTGCAAGTAATTATGCTAAATGTTCTAAATTTTTGTTATAAACATAATAAATCTCCATGGCATGAGTTAATGATTTGAGAATTAAATCATTGTAAGAGATTAAGCTAAATGCTCGAATTTTTTTATAAAGGGCATAATCACTTATGAATTGACAAATGAACCAAGATCCAAGAATCATATTAATCGATTAAGAATTTGAACATTTTATTTAAGAAACATGTGAAACTAACATACTTTTAAGATAGTTAAAAATATCAAAAGAAACTTAGGAGATAGAAAATATTTGAACATCCCAATATAAATGATAAAAAGAAACTGCCCGCCATTGGTCGGGGACAAAGCTAGTGTGAATATAAATGAATTAGTGAGTTGGAGCGAGAAAATCAATAAAGAAGAAAGCACCTTTTGACCCATCTATCAAGAAAAGAAGATTTCAGATTCAAGTCATTCTTATTCCCGTACTCCTGGAGTCGTTTGCTTCATGGATTTAAAAATGAGGGTTTTGTAATTTAAAAACCCAAGGATTTATCAAGGATTTGAGGCATCATGGACTTGTAATAATACTTTGTTTGTTGGGATGTTTTTATCATGGATTTAAAGGTGTGGGATTTACTGTTTGAAGTCAAAAATTACATTACTGCCCTTTTCTATATGTTTGACATGTTTATGATATGTACACAAAACAAGGACAAAACTTCAAAGTTACCTTACTATCATTTTCTATATGTTTGACATGTTTATGATATGTACACAAAACAAGTACAATACATACTAATAAGCATAATGTTGCCACATGGACAATAATAATAAACGAGAAAATTCCGTTTTAACTTTTAACGTAACATAATCAATTACCAATTCTTTGTCCTCTTTTTCAAAAGTGACATATAACAACATATATTAGAATCGGGAGAACAAAGAATTACACGTTCCATGAAAAAGTCAAAGAAAACTAGAACACAAGAAATGATATAAAAATCTAACTCATGTTTGCACATTAATTGAACGTTTATATTATTCATTTATTGTTAATTATAATGTATAATAGTTAAATTTGAGGGCAACCTTGGAATATTAAAAGTGCATGAGGGTATATGGGTAAAATCTCATCAAGGATTTATGTCATATTCCAAATCCCACATCAACATGTGGGATTTATAAGTCCGTGGGGTCCATGGATTTGGACCCTTAAAATCCGTGGGCCCCACGGATTTGGTCTCCAAAAAAGGTGCAAGCAAACAACGGATTGTACCTAAATCCTTGATAGTTGGTTTTTTGATACCAAATCCATGTACCAAATCCTTGAAGCAAACGACCAATAATTTGAAAACTTCTCGTCCCTCTTGTTGTGTCTCTCTGACCTGCCACTTACTAAAGTTGGGCGATCAACTGAGCCCGCAACTGAGATCCAAACACAACAGGGGAGATTGGAGATGGAGGGATGAAAGAGGGAAGGCGAAGGGATTGCATTGCAACGCACGGAAGTTTGTACTTTGGCGCAGAAAGCATACCCAGCTTTCATGTTTTAAAAGAATCTCCAGACTTCAGAACGACGACCTACTTACAAAAAAAGAGACGAATGGAGCACTTCAAAGAGACGATAAACCCCCTTCTTTCAATAATTCCATTCAAAGTATCTACTAAACCTCTACAACCAAAGTCAACTATCACCAACGTCTAAAGCTTGCCAACTGATTTATTCGAGTGGGCAGAAGGCAAGACAAAGTTGTAACTATAACAATGTAAAACACGTGTATCTTTTCTTTGTTTCTTCCCTGCAGTTTCTCATATGGAGAGATCAGCCAAGTCAAACGTTCTCTCAACAGCTTTCCCCCAAGACTCCAACTTCTTCTTCCTCAAGCTCTCCTCCAGGTTTGGGCGGAAAGTTGTGTCCGTCTTGCTCGTCCCTCCAGAGGCGAAGATCTCGCCTTCTTTCCATACTCCTATGGCCAAACCCGCTGCATAGGCTGCTCCCAGCGCTGTTGTTTCTATGTCTGCTGGCCTCACCACAGGGCTCCCAAGCAAGTCTGCCTGTTAAACCAGGAAATGCAAACATAGCCAGAATCAGAGAGTAGATACCCTTCACTCAAACAAACTGGTAGCAACCTCAAATTCTGATTCTTCATCATTAACACATTGATAGCATGAATAACTACAATATAGCTTTTCGATAGAGAAGATTCAAGACGAAGGCTTTCACCAAAAACTATACCTTCTTCTTTCGAGATTCATTCATCTCCATGAATTGAGAACTGACAGAGTACATAGAGATTTTTTTAATGCTTGGTACTACCATAAGTTCTATACCAAATACCCCTATTTCAATCAAGTAATTAAGTACACAGGAAATTTGAACAAACTAGTTCTCTTTATATGAGATAACAAGAATGGTTGAAAGGCCCAGAAAATAGGATTTGTTTCTAAAACTAAAACAACCTACAGAGAGTTGGCACTGTACTGGCTCTTCCCTATTTTCAGTAGACTGAAACCAGTAGAACATGGTTACCTTTTCCACCTCAGATAAGTGGTCTAGAAGTTAAAGTGCATGAAAAAGATAATCAAATTTATCAGGACAGACTATACAACAATATCTATGTCCCCAAAATGTGGAAAACAAGTTGTGATCCACGTGTCCTGAGAAGATCTAAATTTACATGCACGGCACCAATTGGTTGATAAGTGACTCCATGATTCTCCGGGGGGAAAAGTGGCTGCTATTCTGCAGAGCAATTCATCCCTGATAGACCAACCTAGACAGAGCAAATGAGTCCTAAAATGCACTAATTCCTTGTTGAATCCAACTTGATTGTCAACTCTACCCCTAGTGAAAACAACATAAAACACTCCTTCCTAACGAGTTTATTATAATTTCTATTTGTCTGCAAAAATTAGACAAGCGATAAGTGTTTATTGAGGACATCAGATGCACGAGGTACTTCAAATTCAAAACATAGCAAGCGAAAAAGGGCCCCAGAAGCTCAAACCTGAATCTGCATAAGAAGGTTGTTAACAGTAGCACCACCGTCCACCCTAAGCAAAAACTCTCCTCCCTTCTGTTTTCCATCTTTTTGAGATGCATCTTTGTGCATCGAATCCAGCACGTCCTTCACCTGAAAACACATGCTTTCCAACACAGCTCGGGCAATGTGAGACCTGTTTGTGAACCTCGTGATCCCAATACAAACACCACGAGCATCATCTCTCCACCACGGAGCAAACAGCCCATTGAAAGCCGGGACAAAGTAAACACCCCCAGCTGACTCCACCTTCAGCGCCAACTCCTCAATCTCTTTGGCACTCTTAATTATACCAAGACTATCCCTGAGCCACTGTACTGCAGCTCCTGCAATAGCAATGGAACCTTCGAGAGCATAGTTCGTTGGCGCATTTGGACCAAGCTTGTATGCCAAAGTGGTAAGGAGCCCATGCTTCGACTTAACAATTTCCTCTCCGGTGTTGAGTAGTATGAAGGCACCAGTTCCATAGGTGCTCTTGGCCTCACCCTTTCGACAAGCTTGTCCAACCATGGCAGCATGTTGGTCTCCCAGGCAACCGGCAATCGGTATGCCAGTAATCGGCCAGCCTTTTTCAATCTTGCCAATGACCTCAGAGTTGCTAACGATCTTGGGAAGGATCCCAGGTGAGATTTTCAGAGCTTCCAATGTGGCCTTATCCCAATCAAGAGTCTTGATGTTCATCAGCATGGTGCGGGAGGCGTTGGAGACATCAGTGACGTGCAATCCACCATTGATTCCACCGGTTAAATTCCAGATCAACCAAGTGTCAATTGTTCCAAAAAGGGCGTCCCCAGTTTTAACAGCTTGCTTAACTGCATCAACGTTTTCCAACAGCCAGAGTATCTTGAGCGCACTGAAGTATGTGCTGATTGGCAGCCCACATGTATCCACGAAGTGGGTCCTTCCTCCAGAGAATTCTTTCTCCAATTTCCTAGCAAAATTTAAAAAAGCAAGTTCAAGACATCAGCACATCGCCTTCAAATCAAATGATCAAATACAGAACAAAAGATACAATGAATGAACCATATTAGTAACCAACTGCCAATCTTCAGAAAGTCAAATCAAAGGGTACATGAACAAATTAAAGAGATGAACACGCAACAACCCTCAATCGTCTATTATTGGGAAAAGGCCAAAAAGAGAAGAAGGAAAAGGACAAGGGAACAGGATTTAGGCAAAAAAGTAGCTTAGTAAAGAGACCTGCAAATAGCACTGGTGCGTACGTCCATCCAAACAATGGCGTTGTAGAGAGGAAGGCCAGTGGACTTGCTCCAAATGAGAGTGGTCTCTCTCTGATTGGTCAACCCAACAGCTTTCAATAAGCCATCGACGTTATGGCCATCGGCGGTAGCCTTGTCCATGGCTTTGGCCATACAGATTTTGACGCTCTCCAGAATCTCCAGTGGATTGTGCTCCACCCATCTGCGCACACAAAATCCACCCAACGAAATCCGAAATCCATGAAACAGAATTCAACACATATCAATTCCCCAATTGGGTAAAAAAAAAACAGGGTGGGAGGGAAATGATTCACGAACCCGGCTTCAGGGTAGAACTGAGTGAACTCGACCTGGTGAGATCCGATGCATTTGGTGTCCTGATCGTAGATGATGAATCGGGTGCTGGTTGTGCCTTGATCAATTGCCCCGATGAAAGCGACTTCTTTCTTCGCCATGCCTGCGCCTTTCTGGGTTTCTCTCTGGGGGGGAAATTGGGTTGCTTTCGAGAGTGAGCTTTCCCTGGCTTCGATAAAACCGAGAATGGAGGATTGGTTGGGGGTGTGAATGAATGCGATGATGGATGGTTGGTTGGTTGGGTGACTGATCCGAAACGAAGAGATTAAAAGGAGAGGGAAGGCAAGGGAGGGTGGGACTCTCGGTTAATATATTTATTCCAATTAAGCTATGGATTGGAAGCTCAGCAGATTCTGCTGACTTTGAGTTTCTCGATTTGATTTTATCCTCTATCCAATCATTCAATATTTTTCGAATGCTTATCATCATGCCATTTTCGTTTCCCCAAATTTCCCATTTTTGTTTGATTAAAATCATTTCTATTATCCCAATTCCCAGGGGCGTTTTTCAACAATGCATAAATAAATTCCAAAGGATAAGGAAGTAAAACAATTGCATTGGATCCATAAAAAAAAAAAGTTACAAAAAAATTTGCATTGGATGGTTAAAGGGTTCACACTTGTATCATTAATAGCTAATAAGTTTCATTAAACTTTAATTAGGATTTAGATTTTAGGAGTCAAAACCTTTTTCATAATGGAACATTAACAATCATTAGCTTAACGAAAAAGAAAAAAGAGTAACTTTCAAATTTGGTCTCTTGGTTTACTAAATTGTTTCACGTTTTTGGCTAAAACAGAGTAAATTTCAAATTTTGTCACTGACCGTCTAATTCTGTTAACTATATCTGATGTTGCAGTCAACTCTCGTAGTTGACCGTTAAATGAGTGATGTGATAGTAAAAAATAAAGTAATAAAAGTTAATCTCTTAAAATTTTCACAAGTATTAGAAGATAAAAACTTCATTTCTTACAACCCCTAAACACCAAAACCAACCAAAGAAAGAAAATGGCGACACAAGCAGCTTAATCTCTAGTCTCCCTGGCAACCCGCCGATCACTGTGTCCCCAAAACCTTCGATCAACAAACATCTCTCTCATCAACCTTCAAAAACCCATTTCTACCCCATCCCTCTACCTTTGAAAATAGCGGCACAAGCAACTCAATCTCTAGTCTCCCCAAGCAACCTTCGAACCCCCACTCCCAGAGGGCCCCCTAAAGCTCCCCATAATCGTGCACCTCCACAATATCATTCTCACCCGCCGCGTCCTCCGCTCCCTCTCCACCGTACACAAACCTCTAATGCACCTCCAGCTCAGAGAGGTACCAACCCTCGTATTCTCCTCGCCCCAGTATGTTACGTGGATTTTTTGGATAAAACCTTCCACGCAATGTGTCTCGTAAGAATCGAACGACAAACTAAAGAAATAGACTTCATACGAAAAGAATTAGGGCTAGAACAATTAGAAATAGACTTAGGACGAAAAGAGGTCAGACGATAAAAGAACGAAGCAAGAAAATGATTTGGGTTCCAATCTTCTCATGACATTAAACATGACTCCTACTCCTACAATGAAATAACTTACAATAAATCAAATCCTACTTAAACCAAAAAAACACTAATAAAGACAATAGTAATGAAAGACTAAAATAATATAGATACAGAAGCTCGGATAATTGGCCGAATTGCTACGATGGCTTGGTTATCGTAATAATCCCCCTCCCCCCTCAAACGCAACCTTGCCCTCAAGGTTGGTCGTGCCCGTAGATGAATCGACCTTCCTTGCCCTCCTTGGGCGGCCCCACCATAAGAAGGACATTGAGATTTTCACAACGATGCCCAATAGTGAAGCGCTCGTCGCAATGGAAACATAAGCCTTGTGTCCTTCTCATTGTTAATTCCTCTGGTGACATTCTTCTTGCATTAGGAACTCGAGGTGGTGGGAGTGTAGGTTCGGTCACCTCCTCCACTTGGCCTTTCGGTATATTTTCGGCGCTCCTTAATGTTTGGCCAACTCATCATTCTTCACTTTTAAAAGTAGAATGGCCTCTCACACTGTTCCTGGCCTAAACATGTGTATCGCGTCCGAAATCTCTGGTTTGAGCCCACCACTGAAGGATCCCACCAACGCGTCTTCAGTCCACACATAGCATCGCTTACCCAACTTCTCAAAAATTAAGAGGCAATCGTTCAATGATCCAGTTTTTTTAATCTTTGCAAGAGCTTCGTGGCTAGAAGTGCTTTCCAAAGGTCCGAATCGAACCCACAACTCTTCTAGAAACCGAACCCATGTGATTGATTGCCCGGTCATTGTAGTAGTGTGATCCACTCATTGCCACCATTGATTAGCATCTCCTTCAAAATGATAAGATGCCAAAAGTACCTTTTGCTCCTCTGAAATTGCTTGAAATTTGAAGAACTGCTCGACTCGCGCAAACCATCCAGATGGATCCTCTTCCCCATTATATTCAGGAAAATCAAGTTGGGCTATCTGGCCTAGTTGGCCACACCTGACTTGGCCTGGCTCCATTAAATTTCCCCGGAGCCCAACCATTGCCCAGCCCAGTCCCCATGCTCGGCCCAATCATAGGAGAGACTATCTGGCCTCCTCCATTCTCTCCTAGCGCATATTGGTCGAAAATAGCCAGGCCCGCCCTATAGGGATGGCAAAAATATCCATAATCGTGGATATTCGTCCGAATCTGGCCTAATCAGGTAGGGTAAAACCCGAACCCGAAGGACATTTAGTGGGTACGGGTAAAACCCAAACCCGAATATTGCGTGTAATGGGTGGGCGTGGGTTTCTAACTATCCAACCCGAACCTGCCCGATTATACGCATGCATATGTATTTTGTCTAGAAATAATTATTATTTTTCTCTAACATATTTTATATGTAGCATATAAATATAATATTTTCATAAAATTGTGTTGTTTTAGTTAATTTTCTTCATTCTAGTGAACTATTGTCGTACTTTTTCTTTTACGTAATGTGAGAATACATGTGAATGTTAACATATTGGTTGGAGTTATGAAGAGAAATTATTATCAATGGATAACCGTGGATACCCGAAACCCGAACGGGTATGGGCATGGTTTTAATTTTCTACCCGTTTCACATGTGGGTATGGGTATGGGTAAAACCCGAACTACTTTGGGTAGGATAACGGATATGCACTATCCGTCCCCGATCCGACCCATTGCCATCCCTACCGCCCTATAGGATCCACCTCCCACTGAGCAGGCAGTCGGCCCCTGCCCACCACCCCAGCTCGTGCTCGTTGTGAGATTCTTTATGTGGATGGCGTCCAAAGAGAAGCTCACGACCAACAACATCAAGAAATTTCAACATCTCACACAGAATGGCAGCTGCCCCAAATGCCAAGTTGTACCAAAGAATAGACTCCAATGTTTGCGGAACTATAAAGCAGCTAAATATGCCTTGACCAGAGTTATTCCAGGCCACCTTCTACCTCGCTTCTTCAATACATATTACATCAGTTGGTTGAGATCAAATCTATAAGATCGAGCTGAATGCTCATAGCCAGGTGATTGGTCAAGCTTTTTCTCTCTTATATGTGGTTTTTATGAAAGTGCAGGAATGAGAACATCTGGCATAGGAAGTCTTTGGCTCTATCATCACTTCTCAACTATGTCAAGACCAAAGCCATTGAATGGGCGAAATGTTGGTAGTCGGCTACTCTGAAGTTGGATACTACTACAAAACCTGCAAGAACACATAGTTGGTAGGATGGAACTTACCTCCCCGGGATGGATGAAACTCAACACAGATGGCAGAACGCAAGGAAATCCAAGCGTGATAGCAGTGGGAGGTGTCCTTAGAGACAACAATGGAAAATGGATTGGAGGAGTATGCACAAAACTAGGATTAGGCACAAAAATGGTGGCGGAACTTTGGGTTATTCTCCAAGGTCTCAAGTTGGCATGGAAGAAATGGGTAAGCTATCTTGTGCTTGAATCTGACTCGCGACTCGCTCTAAATGTGATCAATCAAACTACAAATGCACTACACCCTCTTGCTACCTTGCTAGGAGCCATTCACCGTCAACACTAGCTCAATGTTGGGTGGTGAAGTTAGTCCATACATAACGTGAAGAGAATAGAGTCGCAGACTGGCTCTCGAAGCACAGTCCCGTCTATCCCTTTGGATCGTATGAATTAACTGGACCCCCACATGCTCTTTAAACAATCCTCATGGACGATCTTATTGGAGTCAGCTTCCCTTGGAGTAGGGATGGCAATCAAAACCATGACCGCGGGTACTCGACCACCTCTGACCTATTCAACGCGGGGAATCCCTGCATTGACTGGGTATAGGGCGGGTATGGGTAAAATCTGCAAAAAGTTTGATGGGTATGGGGTGGGTATGGTTTTAGCCTCTCCCGCCCCATACCGATACCCATACTCGCCCCACCAATAATATTTCTTCACATGTAAAAAATACACGGATCAAATCGAAACCTATCAATGATAGTGAAAATAACTTAAGACAATATAGAGTAGAAATGCAATTGAGTGGCCACCCAAGTGGTGGCGAGTAGGGGAACCGTTCTTTACTCAGGGATTCAGAGGCATTTGCATCGTGGAATGAGGCTTCATCTGCACCACCGTACAGACCTTTTCTATGCGTCATCTTTGTTCGTCACAGTCATCATCACTTGCGTAGGATCACCGCCCAGCGTTTTGACAACGCAATCAAAAATTGGGTTTACATCCAAATCTAATTCCTTTACGTCAATTCTCCCTTTATTCTTTCACTTTTCCCTCTTGTTAACAAGATAATTATGTTAGTTAAGTATTACTTAGTAAATGTGTCAGAGTTAGAAATCAATGATTTGGAAAATATTATACTCGATCTTATTGATTAATAGATGTTTTAGGATCATAGGATTCCATCCATATTAAAAATGATTGTATCTTTGTTGACTTAATGATATAATAGGATTTTTTTTTAGCGTTATAAGTGAAAATTTACATGTAAAGTTTTGGGGCGGGTATTGCCCATGGATATCCGAAACCCACGAATATGGAAATGTGTTCGCAAAACTTTCCCCTGCATAGATATGGGGTGAGTACTTCGTAAAAACATATATATATATATATATATATATATATATATATATATATATATATATGGATACGACTCGTATGCTCCTGACACATACGATGCTCCAAGCCTTTGCACCGTTGATCTAATCTAACGGTCATCATAAATGATGATAAAATTATTTATTAATTATAATTATAATTACTAATTCCATCCATTAAATATTTATATGCACACTTTAGTCCCCCAACAATTTTGGCAGTCGTATTTTGCATTATAGTACCTTGATTTTGTTAGCCATACTTATCGACACCCAAATTTATTTAGTCGATAAATTTTTTCTCCATCAAAATTTGATTCATTATATTACTTGCTCAATATCAAGGTGTGACACCAACTTCCTCCAAATCCACCATCACCTCATACGTCAAAACCCAGAAAACATACTTCCCTTAGAACATCTCTATCAACAGAAAAAAAAAATCCATGTTCGAGATCCACCTTCGGCTTCATCTAGAGTGTCGTGGAGATTGGGTTATTTCTTGTTCAAGAAACCTTGAAATCCTTTGATTCCAATTTGTCAATCATCATCAAACATCCCGATTACTTATCCCGAGTCACTCTGACTTTCTTTCTCTTGTGCCCAGTTGTGGTTTGGGCGGCGATGGTCGCTTCCGATGCGGTGGTTTGCCTATTCTCGTTCTTCTCGATTCTGAGAAATTGGAGTAGGGATTCGAGGTAGGCGGCATATCGACCGCAATTCCACTCGTCCACGAGAGCGCCGCTTCCTTCCAGGGACTTACGTAAGTAAATTCACAGTTAGGTTGAATTTGATTTTAGACAGGCTAAAATTCATCAATGTCGAATACTCGCTTAGAGCTTTCCCCTTAGGAGGGTTCGTGGGGTTCCCTGATAACAATCTCCACAGAGATATGCTAGTCGAAGGCGGAATTTGGGAAAAAACGGTCTATTCCAGACCTGGTTAGTAATTTGAGCTTGTAGTGGGTAAGATCACTTTTGCCTTCGGGATTAGATTGTTTAAAGCCTGTTTCATTTGATTTGCGTGTTCAAGAGGCATTTCATAGTGTCCTTGTCCCTGATGTTCGACCCTTTTCTGCTACTTGTCGAGATGGGGTTCCCGTTGGTTATGTTATCCTCTCTATCAATGGTAGTGAGATCCTCTCTATTATAATGGCGATATGTATGGAAAGACACATCTGGTAACTCCCCTGTTCCAGTCAATGGAAATGGAATTGGAGGTGGGTAGTGTCTTTTCTGTAGATGCGGTTGTCTGCTAATATGGGAGTGAAGAAGTTCGAATTTGATTCTGGCAGGCTCTCAGGCATGAACGAACTAAGTCCTGTGAATTGTGATCGGCGCCACTCCAGAAAGCACGAAGGTAAAATGGAGATGAAATTGGCCGGAAGGAGTCGAGTTGAGGAGGGCTGGGAGTTGCATCATGGAACTTAAACTTATTGCTTGCTTGTAACCTTAGAATGTAATCTATGGCTTGGGGTTCTTAAGTTGCAAAACAAGATAATGCGTTAGTTTACTAGTTGTAAAAGATAAATGAAGCTTTGCAATGGATAGTCCAGCAGCAGGCTGATTTCCTGCAGCAAGTAATGAATTTGACAATTTGTGTTGTTCCATTCCTGTGATATGTACATGTGTTTTGCAGCAAGCAGCATGCTGTTCTATTAATATTTTATACACATGTTTTCTGCACAAACTAAACCAGCAAGGATGTCAATATGAAATTGTTATATGACATGTTTTCTGAAGCATGTACATGTTTTCTGCAGTGACAAAATCAATTTGTAGAAATTAAACCAGCACAATGCGCTTTCTTAAAACAATAAACTGTACTTCCACTACTCATGAACTAAAACTGAATCAGTCTGCAGAAACAGACACAAAAACCCAGTTTACGTGAATCTGACTTCATTCTGCAGAATTGGCTGTTTTTGACCATCGGTTAACTAAGTAGCAAAGCAAAAGCAACGTCCAGCATGGATTTTTGCAAAGAATCTGCTAATTAAGCCTATGGAGTTCTTCCTCGTCCTGTTTCAGGAGGATCACCTCTTGAGCATGAAACCTTTTTCTTCACACGAAAATACATTCTTCCTTCAACTTCACATCTAATTGCAGGAGGATCACTCAATTTTGCTCTTCGTCTATCCATTAAGAGTGACATCCACCCCAGACCCTTCAGCTTCACTTTGTGTCAGATTCCACACACTCGTTTCATTTTGAACCTTCCTAGTTTTAACATGTTCAACAGGCCTGGACTCTCTTAGCATTGTGATGCAGAAGCTATGCCATACTTCTGTTGCACATGCTGCAAAAAAAAAAAAAAAAGGGCAACCGTAATTACAGTTTCAATTGGAACACATGGGAAGGAAAAACAAATTACAGTCTCCTAGGCGTTGTTATCGTCGGCAGCTGCAACACAAATATCGGGTTCATCCTCCTCCACTATCTCAGCTTTGCGTGGCCGAGCACTCGAGCCTAACAAGCCAACCATCGCGATGTTGGACTCTATCTCCCGACAGAGATCAGGTACAAAGTGGCTACTCTGCTGCACGAGATGAAGCGTCGTGGTAGAGACTCTCGCTTTGGAGTTGTGTCCATGTGCATAGGTCGGGGATATACCATATGGACTAGTCCCTTACTCTTCTAGATTGAATTGTGTTGTTCGATCAGCGATGTACCATGTGGCTAACTATGACAACTCTAATGTGCAGGAACCGGGATGGGAGCGGCAGCTGTGTTCGAAAGAGGGGATTGTGTAGATGGCCTTTGCAATGCGAAGAAAATAGACTAGAATGCATTAATAGTAGGTTTGTTCTGTAATTCTCACGTTGTTAACTCAATGCAAATACAAACGAATTTACTTCCACTGTTGACAAAAGCAATCAAGTCACATCTACTAATACTAATTTGTTCAAAGTACCATAACTAATTTAAATTCATATTTTACATCAAGCACCCCTCAAAAGGATAATAAACGTACAAAAGATATTAGCGTTCACATATCCATTACACTTACAGAACACGAGAGATTACAGAGAGGTGGACCATTAATAACATAAATCCGATCATATTAATAATACCCAATTGCTACTTAGTTATCTAAAGGCAGGAACAACTTAACCAAGAATAGATCAAAATAATTCCCCACGTTGTTCCAAGGACCGATTGTGATCATGACTTCATATGACTTGTCACCAATCAAGTTGAGAAGTGTAACATAGTCGGCATTGTCAATCTCAGAAGGACTGACTACAGAAGAAATGATTCTCCGTAAGTATGATGATGGGAACACGACCTCAACATCACAAATGTCATCTTCAATGGTCAAGTGAATCAAGTATACTCTCATGCATCACACCAAGATCTCCTCAGCTCTGTTACAACGCCAGAGAAAATGTACGAAGTGCCCTGATATAATGCAAAAGATGATGATTTGCAAAAAAATAAACAAATCAGATGCAAATCAATCACAGAAGAGATAGAGAAGGATAGATAACAAACGTCTTATCTTACTCACCTGATCATCACCATCCAATTGCTTTGGGATTAGATCTAAAGTTTCAACGGTCTCAGACATTGCCACGGCATTTTGATAATTTAGATTCGTAACAAAATCATCTCCAAGGGTAAAAAACCTATAATTTAGATTATTAGCAATTGTATTAAGTAGTTATGAGAACACAAGAATATGGTTTATTATGAGTTGGTTGGGAAACCATTACTTACGGGTTCCATTCAGGTATGTTGTCCATCTCAAATATATGTCACACTGATTTCCTTCTGCTCAACCTCTATTTTTGGAAGTATCTGCCATTTTTAGAATCATAAAAACAAACTATGTTAGTTGTTGTTTGGGACCACGTTGCATATTACTTTTGCAATGTTGAATTAATAACCAATTCGTATTTCAATTGCAAAAAACCAAAGAGACTCTTATCGACTATATCAAAAGAGGATATTGTTCCGACACTAATCAAATAATCATGTACAAATGAAGACAAGACACATCTTAGGCATCAGAAACAAAGACATGCAAGGAAATACTAGCTGAACAGCGTATGAAAGAAAGAAGGCCTCAGTCCTTCACATTCAACTCATAGTCAGGGTTGTTGGTATTCTTCTCATTTCTAAACAAATTATAGCCAATGAAAAGAGCAAGCTGAAGCCATTTAGCAGCTCATAATCTGCAATATCTGATACCTATTCAATATCATATTCACTTTAGAAAACATAGCTTACTGCAGGGCGCCACCATGAAGGAATGCAGACACAGTAGTAAACTAGAGGGGAAAGCGAGAAACCTGGTGAAGTTCAGCAGGATAAACTAATCCCGCAAGTTTCTGGAATCGGGAGGTCGCCAGTGCTTCTTCTCAACTGCTGTTTTCCTTTGCTAACGGAAGCCGAAATCAATTCCTCTGTTCCATAAACACGTCGTTTACAAGTTAGCTCGGAACTTCAATAAAGCAAACACGAAGCTCGAAGAAGAGAATATTGTGCAAACTTCTAATGGCGGCGAGGAATCGCAAAGCGTTTCAAACACCAGGCCGTTGCCCAATCGACTAAGAATTATCTGAGAGCAGAAGGAGGCGTACCCAAAGGAGCGGAGGACGCGATTATCGCCAACCTGTTGATGAGTGGAAAGAAAATATAAATGTGAGATGCTGGCAAAATCTTGAGAATCAACTCTTGGGAATGAGAATAATGTGGGTCAGGCAGATAGGAGGACAGCCAAACCCGACCATGCAATGAACCAGTCCGATTGATGTCTTCGCCGGGAACGGAACAGAGGCGCCGAAGGGAAGAGGAAGAGGAAGCGGAAACGTTTTCGTGATCCTTTTTGGTTTTGGTTTTTTTTTATGCAAACGTTTTGGCCGGCCAAACCCAACTAATGGGCCTCTATCAACAGCCCAAACTTACAACTAGCCGGCCAACGGGAGAACGCGCCTGCTGCACTGTTGGGCCTATTCGGTGGTAGTAATGTTGGTTGTTTCTGATCTCAAGCCCTCAACTGCAAAACTTCCTTTTTTACTCTTTTTAGAAGACCGCCTTTTTTATCCGCCAAAAAATTGGACTACTCTTTTCAATGAGAGCCGCTTGCTCTTGTGGTAGCCACGCTGCCAAAAAATTGGACGACTCTTTCCTAATTTCTGTCTCTTCATTCATTCTTAACCCATTTAGGGCTATTAATGAACCAAGCTGCTCATGAACGGCTCGGCGTCCGACTCGATAAAAACTCGTTTGAAACTCGATTCGTCTTAATCGAGTCGGCTCGCGAACAAGCTCGTTAACTAAATGAGCCAAACTCGAGCCATACCATGTTCGGCTCTAAAGCTCGCGAACAAGCTCATTTAACGTTTTGGCATAAGAAAGAATTAGAATTCATGGATTTTATGCATTGAAATTGAAATAAATATTGTGTTTTATTTTGTTAGACTTAGATATAGGTTTGAATGTAATTTTGTGCCCAGTTTGAACATTTTATGAGCTTAACTCGATTTTGGGTTTTGGGTACTTGTAATGAGCTTATCGGCCGACTTTGAGTAATCTTTGAGATCGAAATATGTGAAGACATATGTTCTCTTTGTTATACCCTCTTGTCATACACTGCACCCTATACACTGAACCCTAAACCCTATACCTTGAACCCTAAACCCTAAACCCTATACCCTGAACCATATACCATGAACCTTAAACCCTAAACCCTAAACCCTAAACCCTGAACCCTAAACCCTATACCCTGAACCCTGAACCCTATACCCTGAACCCTGAAACCTGAACCCTATACCCTGAACCCTGAACCCTAAACCCTATACCCTATACCCTGAACCCTAAACCCTGAACCCTGAACCCTAAACCCTAAACCCTCGTTTATATGAGCGGTAACTTTAAACAATTTTATAGATACTTAAATTGAGGACATAGGTTTAGAATTTGAAAAAAATAAAGAAACAATGAATATAAATTTTCATTCCCCCAAACTATCCCGCCATTTTTTTGTTTTGGATTTTCCCAAACTTTCAACCAAATAAAAAGATTTTCCCACCATATCATGAATTTATTAATTTATGCAGCTTTGAAATAGGAAAGGCTAATTAAAACACAAAGAAAAAAAAGGAAAGGCTTGACAGGATGGAACACGCTGTCGTACAGGACAATAGAATGAGGGTAACTTTACCTTCCTCATTCGCATCCTTCATTCTTCCTCAGATCCACCCATTTCCTCACCATCGTTCCAGTGAAAAGGATAACGAAACAGCACGAAAATCCCAAATCCTACCCTAAAAAAACGACAATCCAACGATGGAGCTCCAAACAGAACCGCGACGGAACCCTGTTTTTATCCGCCAAAACAAAATTTCATTTCTTTGCAACCCTTCCCATCCCACTGAAACAGAATAGCATAGTTTCATTCTCTCTTTCCACTAATCGTTTGATGTTTCTGGGAAATCTGGTCGATTTGGGGTCTTCGAAGCTGGCCCACTTTGCCGGCGGCCGAAGGTGTGGCCTTGTCGATGAGCACGCGGAGCTTCAGATATACGATTTCTGGGATATATTGCGCATGCATATCGCATAATGAATCACTCGAAGAAGGTAGGCTTCCGAATCTCTGCACTTCCCTCGCCCCGATTCGGCTTTGATTCACTGAAACGGCGATTGGTTCAGGTTCATTCTCTGGTAGCGAGCAACGAAACGGTGATTGAAGCTGGGATCGGAGATGAGGGAGCTCCACAGCTTGCAGATGGGTTTGTAGAGGAAGGCGGATCTGGGATTGGGGAGGGGAATCAGAATCTCGACGAGGAGGCCGTCTCCGAGTTTGCTGATGGCGGAAGGAGGGTGTAGAGGGTTTCTGAGAACTGGGTTTCTGTTGCCTCCGCCGCTCCTATCGGTGACAACGGCTCCTCCTCCATCTCCACCGCTTCGCCGTTACAGCCAGGTAAAGTTTGGTTCTTGGTCTCTGCTTTCACTTGTTTTTCTCTGATGGATTCTGAGAACTGGGTTTCTGTTACAGTTGGGAGCCGGGTTGGAGAAGTGAAGAGGCTCACCAAAGAGACCAATGTTTCTGTGAAAATTAACTTGGATGGTACTGGGGTTGCTGACTCGTCCACGGGAATCCCATTTCTCGATCACATGTTAGATGTTAGTGAACTTCTGGAAATCACTTTGCAGCTCTGCAACTTCCCTTTTCAATTTGGTCGACTACTCGATTTTCTTTTGCCCTGGATTTGATATATGATATTTCCCGCTTTTCGATCGATTGATTGTAGCAACTTGCGTCGCATGGGCTGTTTGATGTACATGTGAGGGCAACTGGTGACATTCATATTGATGACCATCACACCAATGAAGATGTTGCTCTTGCTATTGGATCGGTCAGTACTTCCAGTTACCTTCCCCTTTTCATTTCTCAGTCTTCTGCCTTAATATAGCTCACCACTTGTAACTCGCCTCCATGGATTATTGATTGAGGATTTTGAGAGCTATCAGCAAAGAGAGCTAGGGAATTGGTCAGGCAAAAGAGTGTCTTGAGATAATCTTCTCTTCCAGGGAAGCTTGATGATTGCTCATCTACCAATCCTGAAGAATCTGGTGACTATTCTATTCCAAGTTATTTATTTTGACAGAGTTGCTGAATTTCAAGATAGCTAAATGAAGTAGTCTTGAAATAGACTTCTGCTTGATTCGCCACGAGGTTCAGTGGCACATTTTAAGGACTCTATCCTTTCAATGCCTGCAGAAATTTTCATAGTTGAAGGTGATTCAGCTGGTGGAAGTGCTGAGCAGGGCCGGGATAGGCGCTTTCAGGTAATTGGATCCATTCTTAATTTAATCGATGAGCGTGTGAATGGCGGTGAAGCAATGTTGTGGTCTGCTTTGTTTAATTGGGAATTGGGCATTTCTGATTCATGTCTCTTCATGTTCTGAAAAATGACGTGTGCATTACTCATTAGGGTGCTAAATTATCTTTAAATCATGTTTTACAGGCTATTCTAATCCCTTTTTGTGCTTAGCGTTGATTTATTTCAATTTTCTGTCCTTGTACTCATTTTGAAGTTCTTGCAAAAACATGGACACAGGGAGAGGAGTTCAAAAAGGATGCTCTTCGTTATCATAAGATCATCATCTTAACCGATGCGGATGTGGATGGTGCTCACATTAGAACACTTCTATTGACTTTCTTCTTCAAATATCAGGTATATTTTTTATATAATATACCGAATAGAACACTTCTATTAAGATCATACCGTCGAGCACAGTTAACGGGATTTTTTTAAACTTCTTGTACAGAGGGCATTATTTGATGAAGGTTGCATTTATGTTGGTGTGCCTCTGCTTTACAAGGTACACTCTCTTTGGAAATTCACAAAGTGAATTAATTTGTCTCGATTGAGGATTGACTGAGAAGTGAGAACCATGAACCTGTCGATGTATTTGGATGTTGCAGATTCTTCTACATTGCCCTATGGCTGGAGTCGCTATGCACAATTCAGCTTGGCTGTGGTGAATCAAATTCACAACAAGTACCCAATCAGAAAAGGTACGTTTCTGGTGCTGAAACGTGGCAAGCATGTGCATGGGATGAATTTAGGACTAGTCACAAGTAATTATTTGGACTTGAGCAATTTATTGAATGAGTAGTTTCTAATATGCTTACTTCTTTGTTTTTACCCATATACTCAACACCAGTTCAATGGAAGGGAGAGTGACTGGGGTTTCACATCATTTATGCCCCTCAGTGATCTGGTTGTCGAGGTCTCGCAAGAGTCAAACTGGTTCTAAGGAATACAAGACACGTGCTGCAGTTGGTGTAAGTTTATCTCAACCCCTATTACATATCAATCTGGTCCCTATGTTGGATCAGTCTACTTATGTTAGATAAATTATGGTATAAATTTAATAACCAACCATATGCATATCAATCTCAGGCACCTCGAAGAGAAGATGAAGAAGACAACAAAGTTAAAATCAAAGGGGTCTTGCAAAAAATGCACGAGGTATGTCCTTGAATAACTAAGAACTCATTTCCAACTCTCTATGTTCGTCAAACCACCAAAAAAAAAACCGTCAAAGGCTGCACTTGTTGTAAATCAACGAAGCTAAAAGATTTTGTCCCATCAATTTCAATGAACAAATAACAAAAACTGAGTGCTTTTCAACTCCTTGCTCTGGATGTTGTTCAACTTCTTGCCCTGTCTGTGTTGTTCAACTTCTTGCCATGTCCCCTCTTCTGAAACATAAAAAACAAGATAAAAGAACATTGAAACTGTCACTTTTTTAGCAAAGGTTCTCACATAATATATACATTAGGATGCATAAGATTATTTTCACTAAAAAAACCTGTTGGGTCCTCTCAGATTGGCGTTCAGAACATTGAGCAGAAGGCTCCACACTAGGTTCTGTATGCTTATTGGATTTCCCTTGCTGCTGATGTGTCATAGTACTACTCCTAGTACGTGGCCCAGTCTGTTACAAGAGTAGAAATTAAACTCTTAAGTTGATAGCTACTTGTACCAAATAGAATAAAATTTAGAAAGAAAGTGTTGTATAACCTTATGTCGCTTCGGTATGTTTTCTGTAGGCTCTACATCAGCATCGTGGTTGCTAGTTCGTTGATTCTGATATAACCATTATGAAAACACTTAGTTTTTAAGAACTATTAATTCTGATAAAAACTCAAATATGTTTTACCAATTACCTTTTGGGGCCGACCACTTTGGTCATCGTCATCATCTCCATCATCACCTCCCTCATCACCTCCATCATTGTCCGCAAAATCCAGATCATCGTCGTCATCCTCTTCATCAGACGAAGATTCTCTAGCTGGCGGCACGTAGCCTTCGGGTTCAGGACAAGTCTTAATATAATGACCGTCCCTTCTACCGCATCTCCCACACTTCCTCTTCTTTTTCTTCTGTTGTTTTTTTGCCTTTCCTTTTCTACATCCCTTGAACAACACTTTTTTGGGGTTGAGGACTCTTTCGAACTCCTTAGGTATTACCATCGATTCCCTTTCAGCCGGAGTTGTTCTCATCATTTCCAACTTGTCCCTCACTGCTGTCAACCCCCCTCGAGCAACCTGGAAAGATAGAGGAGTCTCTGCCCCCAATAGGAAAATATGTGTAGCCAAGAACTGGAGTGACCCATATCTGGTGTTGAAAGAATGATCATCCCCCAACTTAGGTGGCGGTGGCATACTGTCTATTGACTTTGGGTTCTTTGAGCAACGTTTAAGTACCAGTTTCTCAGGAAGACTTTTCACCCGTTCTTCTTTCAACACACAGAGCATATGAGTGCAGGGAATTCCAACACTGTTAAATTTTTTACAGCTGCACTCCATATCCTTTGTTTCAAGGTTGTATTTTACCTCCACAACCTTCTGTTTGTTGAACATACTTAAACTGTAGGTGTGTATGTTTCCATCCTCAGATTGAGTGTTCTTTATGCACCCAATAACCTGCTCTAGTTCACTTCTGAATTTAAGAAATGCAGCTTTCGAGAACAACTTAATTGCACTTTCCTCAAGGGGTCTAAGCATGATGCTCTTTAGCGGGGTTAAACCATAATTAGATTTAAAATCTAATTTGATCTCTGTTTCCCTCAAATCCCTACATCAACGATCATACTGAATGAAAAAGTCAAGCAAACAGTGTCTCTCCTCCAAATATCTTCCAACAAATGAATTTATACCTTCATTTCTTGATGTGGTTGTCAGCCCGGCAAAGTAGTGGGAGCGCAAGTATGTGTCCGCCCATTCTCCGCGTCTCCCAAATAAATTTGTAGTCACCCATTGGTTGTTCTGTAGACCACATTTTTCCACTAATTCCTTCCATTTCTCTTCAAATTCTTCTTCCTCATAATCAGCAGTTACAAATGTGCTCCATTGGGGTTCGAAGTCTGGGCTATTCTTCACCTTGCCCTTGATATTCTTTGAAAGATGCCACGCACAAAGCCGGTGTGTTGCATCTGGAAACACAGTAGCAATGGCATTCCTCATTGCTTTATCCCCATCTGTTACAACTGTATGCAAGTCCTTTCCACCCAACATTTCCTTCAATATCTCCAAAGCCCACTTGTAGCTCCCTTCAGTCTCATTAGCTAACAGTGCACTCCCAAATAAGCAACTCGTGAAATGATGGTTGATACCTGAAATAGCAAGTGCTTCTCAACTTGTTTACGGATTAGAAAATTGAATATACGAACCAAAATTAGCACTAAGGTGTGTACCTGTGAAAATAACAAGAGGCATATTGTAAATATTTTTTTTGTATGTCGTGTCAAATGCGAGCAACTCTCCAAAGCACGAGAGGTCAGATATGCTCATACTGTCTGCCCAGAATAAACTGTGGAGCCTATTTTCCTCGTCAGTAGTGTACCGGAGGATGAAGTGCGTGTCCGTACTTTTCTTCGATTCTAGATAGGCCAGTGCGGCTGCCGCATCACTAGGACATTGATAGCATCGTATTTGCACGTGTTTTCACTCTGGTTTCCTGTCCATTTTGGCTCGAATTGATTGTTCCTTGGCCTATTTTACGCTAGGTTGTGTTGTTTTGTCGTATTTCAGGTCCTAGCAAGTAAAGAGGAGCAAAGGCGCAAGTTTCCGGTCATTTGGAGGTCAATTGGCGAGTCACAGAGTGAATTACGGGCAGCCCTTGCTGAATTACGGCCGTAATTTAGCAGGGCATGCCCGTAATTAATTGGCCGCGCATTCCCCCAGCAATTCTTCTCGGTGGTAAAATTACGGGCAAAGACCCCAGGAATTACGGCCGTAATTTCCTAATTACTGGCGGTAATTGGAAAATTACGGGCGTAACTTTCCCCCTGCAGCTTAAGTAAAACGCGCGTTTTGGTGTGAATTACGGGCAGGAGGTGATTACGGCCGTAATCCTGCCCGTAATTCACCCAGAGTCGGGTTTTTGAAGGCAGATTCGAGCCAAGGAGAGGGAATTCGATTTTCTGGGCAAAAACAGAGTTTTAGAGAGAGAAAGAGCGAAGAACAAACCCTAGGAGCTATTTTGGAGTGGATTTCTCATCATTGAAGCCCAGATTGCGTCCCTAGGAGTGAAGATTGACATCCCAGAGCAGATTTTCCTCATCTTTATGAGTATGACTACTCTGATTTCTGTTTTCTCTTCTCTCTCTATGGAGTAGAACCTTTCTCTCACTTGGGTATGAAGAACCCTAGTTCCTTGTGTTAGGGATTTGATTGTAATGACTTGGGATGATATTATTGTTTGATTTTAATCGAATGATGCATGTTTCATGAATTGATTTGAGTCTGATCAGCTTGTTTCAATTTCTGCTTCAACCTGAGATAGATAGAATCTGATTAGGTTGTTAGAGCTTTTTCATTCGATAGTAGGAGACTGGCTATACGAGAGTTAGCCAGTTTACTGCTTTGTACTGGTGTTCTTAACGCCAGTAGTGGAGTTCTGTGTTTATAGCCTCAGCTTCCTATCCCGGTGAAGACTAGTCGTCTGCCGGGTAGTTAGACTGAGAGGGCTTGGTCAGCTTAAGAGATTCCAAGCTACGGTCGGATCTTCCGCAGTCTAATCAACAGTAAATCAACCCAGGGAATTGCAATTGAACCTAACTAAGGGGCTAGGGGGACTCAATCCCGAGTGACTCTTAACTGCTTTTGAAAACCAAACCATTTCCTGTTTTCTTACTGCTTTTGCGTTAAACAACAATCACTCGAACTAGTTTGCTAGATAATAGAGAATCACGGAGTAAGCAGTAGATCTAGACCCCGGGTTGATAATTAAACTTGCCTGTTACTGCATTCCCGGGTGAATGTTTGGCTGTTTGTGTGCATGGAGCCTAGTCCACTGTCCAAATTTCGATTTGAGGGCTCCAAGTACGTGTTTCCATGCAAATTGCCTGCTCAGTATGCTTTGAATTGACAGTCTCTATAGTAATGTGCAACCTAGGGAGGTAGTGTAGCACTATGGAGGATGTTGAAGTATAAGATTTTTCCTATCTAGCTCTCTGCTGTGTCAGTTGATTTTGTGAATTAGTGGAGCTAAGACCGTTGAATTCATGTGGTAATGTGGACTCTGTTTGAATTGTGTTATGGACTCGTGTATTGAACAGGGTGCTCATGTGGCAAATGAAAAGCAGTGGTCCTCCATGTCGAAATCATCAAAAATCTTAAACATGTCTTAAACATGGGGTAAGCCCAACGTGTGTGGCACCGTTCATTGCACAAAATCGGGTTTTGGAAGAGATTTTAGTGATCCTTAGTGGGGTACTCCTACAAGGTGAAGCTAAGCTGTCTCTAGTACAAGTAAAACTTCCGCCCGTTGAGCGGTTTGCCTACTCGAGGATGTGTTTTTAAGGGCACGGATAGAGCTTCCGACCCCCCTTGATTTCATTGACCCTCCACACGAGTTGAGGAAAAGGAGTTAAAAGAAGTACTCTGGCGAGCGCCAGATGTACAGAAATTGCTCTTGCTCGACTAATAAGGGTCGACCGTGCAAAAGACTGCAGTTGGAACCCCACCAAATGAAAGAAAAAATGTAAATGAAAGTGAGAAAAAGGGGTTCCAACGGTGAAATGAAGTGAAAGAGCACCCCGGTACAACGAGTCCTTGGTTGTGAATGGTGTGAGTCCCTTTATCCATGAACTGACTTTCTTACTTCTACTTTTTCTCATGATCCTGGCTTGAGTCTAGTACTCGCATTGAGAGAGATAGGGAACGTCTTAGAAGACCAGTTGACCTCGTAAGCTGCTATATGATCTAGGAAATCCTCTACCGACGATCGAGGTTGTATGTTGATATAGAGGTCTGGAGAGCTGCATTGGTTTGAGTTAGGTTTGCTTGGGGACAAGCAAACGGTTAAGTGTGGGGGAGTTTGATAGACCGATAATTACACATGTTTTTACCCCTGTTCTTACACCGTTTGAGATGTGATTTCTCGTGTTTTAGGCCGATTTCACGCTAGGTTGTGCTTGTTTATGATATTTCAGGTCCTAGTACGTGAATGGAGGCTTGGGAGCAAGTTTCGGGTCAATCAGAGATCAATTGACGATTCGGGAGAAGAAACTCGGGTAAGACCTGAAGAAGAATGGATTTCTACCTCACTTTATGGACAAAGAATCATGCAAGCTTGTCATGAAAAGAAAGAGGACGAGACTACGAGCGTCTGGGTTCAAACGGCGACTGATTTGGAGTCCGGACGAGGGAGAAACGAAGCTTTGAACAGAAGCACAGAGAGAATTACGGGCAGCCCCTGCCTAATTACGGCCGTAATTGGCCAGGGCATGCCCGTAATTTATTGGCCGAGCCTTCTACCCAGAATTCCCTCGCGGTGATAAAATTACGGGCAAGACCCCAAGAATTACGGCCGTAATTCCCAAATTACTGGCGGTAATTGGGAAATTACGGGCGTAACTTCTCCTCCTGCAGCTTAAGTGAAACGCGCGTTTTGGTGCGAATTACGGGCAGGACGTGATTACGGCCGTAATTCTGCCCGTAATTCGCCCAGAGTCGGGTTTTTGAAGGCAGATTCGAGCAACAGAAGAGGAGAGCTGGGTTTTGGATCCCAAACACCCAAGGGACGAACCCTAGAGAGAGAGAGCGACTTGGGAACATTCTTGGAGCTATTTTGGAGGATTTCTTCGCCATTGGAGCTCGGGAATCAAGCTTGGAGATGGAGATTGAAGATCTAGATCAGATTTCTGCAGTCTCTCTCTTCTCTATGGAGTAACTTCCCTTCACTTAGGTTTTGAGGAACCCTAGTTTCATGAGCTAGGATCTTTCTTGTATGAAGTTTTGGATGCTATATTGTTTGATTATAATCGAATGATGCATGTTTGTTGAGTCAATTGAAGTCTGATCAACTTTTCCTGATTTCTGCTGCAACCTGAGATAGATAGAATCTGATTAGGTTGCTAGAGCCTCATCATTCGATAGTAGGAGATTGGCTATACGAGAGTTAGCCAGTTTACTGCTTTGTACTGGAATCTAATTCCAGTAGTGGAGTTCTGTTCTTACTGCTTCAGCTTTCTACCCCGGTGAAGGTTAGTCGCCTGCCGGGTAGTTAGACTGAGAGGGCTTGGTCAGCTTAAGAGATTCCAAGCTACTGTCGGATCTTCCGCAGTGTAATCAACAGTAAAACAACCAAAAGGAATTACAACTTGGACCTAATTGAGGGGCTAGGGGGAATCATACCTAAGTGAGTTCCCAAACTGTAATTAGTAGTTTTACTTAGTTTAGTTAGTAGAGTAGTTTAGTTAATCAATCCTTAATCTAGTTTGCTAGATAATGAACTGAAGCTGAGTAATAGTAACTCTAGAGACCCGTGGATTCGATATTTATTACTTGTGCCACTATACTGCAGCCCCTTTCATTGGTTACACTTGGCCATTGTTAGGTGTTGTGTTTTAGCGAGTCAGACATAGCCTTTCATTGCGATCTCGAGTGCTGAAATTCATCCCATCTTTTACTGTGTACCCAACTTTGTCATGTCCTCCAGCATTATGCACAGCAAGCTTTATGATTTGAGAAGGTTTCATACCTGCATTCTTCTTAAATCTAAAGTCTGCCTTGTCAGCCTCTGTTAACCCTCGTTGTGATCTTAGGTGATGAGTACAATGCCGATTAATTGGCATATGATTGTGATCTTCTTTAAATATATCCACTATCCATTTTGAATCATTCTTGTTAAATGCCACACGCATTTTTGCTTGACAACCAAATCTGGTCTCCATGGGGGAGTCTCTCTTCTTCTCCCCTTTGTTGGGGGCTCTATGTCCCTCACAAGAACAAACGAAAGCTCCATTAGTAACCTCTCCCTTGCTGTTCCGAACTTTCTTTGAGCGCCTAACAGAGAATCCCCAAGCCCTTTCATAATCATTGTAGAAGTTGTAAGCTTCTTCAAAGTCATTAAATATCTGGCCGATTTTAGGAGGATCTAAAATCACATCTTCCATCCCAGTCGTTTCTCCATTCAGAATGCCAATGTCGGTTTCTCCTGTTTCCTCTAAAATCTCAAGGTCATCTTCAATGGGACTGTTACGAGGATGTTCTTCTTCTTCCATCGATAACCTTCTTTGGTTTAGGGTCTCGGCAGGGTGGGATACTGACTGTAGGTGGTTGTAGAGGGTTGGAGGCGGCTGAACGTGTATGTACGTACAAGAATTATGCCCAACCTGCTGCAGGAAACCTATTTTTACCCCTCTGTTGTTTTGTCTATGTTAAGAATCATTATTTTAGTATTATTTGTCTCTCTCCTTACCGATCTGCTTCCTCTCAAAACCGGAAAATCTTCATCCTTCTGTGTTCTGTACAGAGGAAAAAACGTGTAAATTGAATTCGATTAATAAACAAATAGATGATGATAAAAGAATTTTCTAAGTTTAATTAATGATAAAAGATTTTCCTGTATAGCTTTAATAGAATTTTCTAAGTTGACCTAATAAGGTAGATAAATATTATAACACTTACCATAAAGAGAAAAACACTCTACATCCCCCTTTATTAAGACGTGTGAAACCCCTTTTTCAGCCGAACTCGAGCTCTGTTCTGTACCGTTCTGTGAAGCTGGAACAGAAGAGGACCATGGAAAAGCCAGGGTAAGTAAATTATATACACAAGGAAGAAAGCCACCATCGTAATGTCTCTCTTTCTTCTAAATTCCTCTTTTGTTATGATTTCTTTTTTATCTCAGGGACAAGAACAAGATGAAGCATGTTGTGGACAGCGGGGTAATGACAAGATCAAAGGCGCGGTCGTCCGATTTAATGGTATGTCAGTTTACATGTTTTCATATCTCCATCGTTGGCAGCTTATTTTTCGTTAAAAACTAAAGAACGACGATTGTTGTTGTACTATGAACGTAGGAGCTGGAGAAGGATGTATCTCCGGTAAAGAAAGCTAGAACTGAAGTCGGTGTGATCCATCCATCGACGCCGGGATCAAATATGGTTGTTCTTGATGGTGAATCGAGGGGAGATGGCAATGCTTTAGTCTGGAAAAGTCGTACCAGATTATCTACCCTGCAATTCACCGATAAGGTATTTCTACCCTTCTCTCGTATTTTCTGCTTCGGTTCTCTTTTCCGGCACTTGTTTCTTTGTGTTTTGCTTCCCAATCGATAGTGGCGAAGTTATCTGTGTAAACTTTCTCTTATTTGGATTCAACACCTGCACCAAGCTTCTTCGTCTCTTTCGGCAAGAACAGCAGAACCAATTTTTTTACATAGAGTTTTTGTTTGATCGGAATGACCAGGAAGGATTTCTTCTTTTGGTGTTTGAGCAGCCGATAGCTTAGCCTTGGAAGAATTGGGCCGAGACCCAAAGCTTATTTTATATTTTTTTACGGGTCTGTTGGTTGAATTTGATTCACCCTGTTTTGTGCTATAGTTGCTTGAGATTCAGGGCCTCGTATTAGTGTGTTTCTTCACTACTGAAGTGATTTAAATGGCAGTATGTCTCAGTAGCCAACCTTGAACAAGTTGCGCTCTTTATGTGACGATTACGAATGACGATTACATTAAAATTAGGGCGATAATTAGCAATCCCCTCTAATCCACCCCACTAATATTTTTCTGCCTTAAAACGGAATCAGTGGTTATATTTTTATCGAACCCGCTAATATTCTTTCATCTTCCATTGCAGGCAGAAACTAAGTTTAGGCTGCCTCACGCTGTCAACTACAGTGAGGAGGAAATCAAACTTGCTCACGACATATTTGCAGCTGACCTTCCGCTAAAAGAGGTCCTAGTCGATACCATGATGAAATCCTATACGCGAAAGGCGCTATGGTCCCTCTGCCCTAACTCCAATGTTGATGCTGATGTAAGTTTTAATCCTGGCCTACTGTTACTAATCAGGATGTTGAAGGGTGTTTTATATCTTGTTGTTTGCACGTCATTTGTTAATGAGTAGATCACGATTCGTGGGAAAATTGATAAGGATCAAGGCATAGCCTGGACCATGTCCTTTCTATACAGAATTTTAGTCTGGTGCCTGTTTATTTGACATGCCTTTTGCTTTGTTGTTTTTTTTCCTCCTGTGTATTTTTGCCCTTTTCCCTTTGTTTCTTTGAGGAGTGCACTGCTGCTGCAGCTTTGCTTCTAGTTTCCTCTATGATTTTGTATCTAGTGTAGGATGGCATAATACCAATCTCCTAAAATTTGTATACCCTGGTTGGTTGGTGTGTTAGGTAATTACAGCAATGACTTGCCACTTGACCCTGGACGAAATTACGAGAGATGCTGGCCGTGGGAGAAGAGTATGTTTTCTGCCTTCTGAACTGCAGGTACATATTGATTTACCTTGTACATGTATTTTAGGTGAAATATACTATTTGTCCTATGGTATATAATAAACGTGTAATTCTGCTTATTTAATCAAATCATGATTAGGAAATGGTACTTAACTATGGCATGACACCGAAAAAAGCTTTAGAGTGTTACGGTACAAAGTTTCTCACAATAGCTCACATCTGCAGAAAGGTTTTCTTCTCAATGCTTTCTTCTGCATTTCACTTTTGGCTTCCTCATTAATTGTTTCTAGCTATTGTATGAACATATATGTGAATAATTTTTCTTTCCAATCAAGCTATTTAACTTTTTCATTCTCCCATGGTGGTGTACGTTCTCGGCTGTCGGGTGGGTGTTTGGTGTTTTTTCCATTGCTGTTGGAAGGCTTCTTCTTGCTGCTTCTTTCCTGTTTCCCTTTGATGCATAGAGGTGGTCTGGTCCACCTAATGCATGTTGTTGGCTGTTCCCTTTTGATTTGTTTTTGATTTGTTTTGTTGTACTTTGGTCTAGGATTCCTGTTTCCCTTTGATGCATAGAGGTGGTCTGGTCCACTTAATGCATGTTGTTGGCTGTTCCCTTTTGATTTGGTTTGATTTGTTTTGTTGTACTTTGGTCTAGGATCAGTGCTCGTGATCCTATTTCATATCCCTGTACTTTGCATTTTGTTCATTAATTCAATCATCACCCTTATCAAAAAAAACTTTTTCATATATGAAATGTCAAATATGGTTTACTGATGTTAGTATTTATTGTCGTAATGTAGTTGTGTCTGCCAATGAAGGATATCATGCATGGTGATGACATTCATTGGTATTTAGTAGTCATCTTGATGGATGACAAGCAAGTTCATATCTTGGATTCATATCCTTCTAAAGAGCGCCAAACACCTCGTAAAGATGCAGTACAAACTATGGTATGGTTAGAATTTGTGCGTGGAATACGATTATATTTGTGAAATGGATTTTTGTTCTCTTCTATTTGTCATAAAGTTACTCCTTATGTAGATTGGATTTCTCGATGCCTTGTTCGAGGATCTTTATTTACAAGTGGAACAAATGTGCGATCCCCCAGTGATGAAGGAGTTCTCTTTGACAATTCCTTCAGTTCCTGAACAACGTCACGAGTAAGAATCATTCCTTATGCATAAATTCCAAAACATACTCACAACTGATCATATGCTTCATCGAAATTTATGTAGGTATGACAATGGCGTTTGGGTGTGCATATGGATGATGGGTGCAACTTGGGATGAAGATTATTTTATATGGGTAAGCAACAATTCACTTGCTTGAACTTGTAGTTAAACAACCTAGTGAATTTGCTATTGAGATCCATTGTCTTTGTGAAAAAAATTCAGCCATGTGGAGATATGAGGAGAATGCAACTAGCTTTGTATTTGGTCAAACAACCTGCAAATTACATAAGACATGTGGTCATCAAGGAAGCAAATAGGAATGCACCAAGGTTTAAACTCGAGACTCGTACGTACAAGGAAGAAAATCGAAAGAGGTTGAACAAGAACTAGAGCTATATGGAGATAGTGCTTCCGTGATTTCGTAATTTAAGCTTGCTTTTTTTATTCAAGGACTTGTTCGTTATATGTTTCACTACATTTCATCAGATTAACGGTTGCATTTCTGTTGGGTATTTTGGATGAACAAATTTCAGTTTACATTATCATGAGATTCGGTTCTTTTCGTTCTATTGAACTTGGTTGATTGTTGAACTAGATCAGTTTATGGTTTGAGAATCTTTGGTCTATATGTTTAGATACACAACATTGACATTTTTTGGTGTTTGAGCAGCCGATAGCTTAGCCTTGGAAAAATTGGGCCGAGACCCAAAGCTTATTTTATTTAGCTTTCTCACCAGCCCACTCAAAAGATTTTCCTTGGCCAGTTCACAAATCAGACACCAAGCTTTTCCCAAAACTCACCGTTTCACAAACCCAAACTGATCCTTCCCTTCTCTTCGACTGAAATCAAAACCCACTGTTCTTTGCTTTCAACCCAGACACATGAACAGAGTGCAACAGGATATCAGCAAAGCCAATCAAGTGCAGAAAATAAAAGCACAACACCAAATTTTTACTTAGGCACCAAATACAGAGAGTCTTAAGAAAACGAAAACGACAACATTATTTTGTGTCCACTTCAGTAAGCCAGCATCCATCAAGTAGCAGTTGCATCGTGCTGCCACCTAGTGAAGACAACAACAGCAGCAACGAAAACAACAACAAAGTAATGGATCAGGAACCTCGTCGAAGTCAATCTCATTGATTAGATAGTAATCAAAAGGGTCCCCACAAACAAAGCCTCACTTGAACTTGACAAAGATTAGCTAGCTGATATATTGAGAATGGATAGGACAGACCATGGGAAAACAAATTGAACGAATAATAGTCTTAGAACAAAGCAACAGCAGGTGTAGATTGCAGGCTTTGGCTTACTTATGAAATGGTTACAAGACATGGACAAGCCAGCCACATACATGAAATTGAAGTTCTAAACAATCTTTAAGACTCGATCCAAAACACTATGCAATACCCGAAATTGTTCAACAATCCAACTAAGCTAACCCGAAATCATGGCTACTTACAGGATCATCATTCAATCAGACCGTTTGCTCACAGTTCGGGCAGCTCGAGGTCGTACTTCACGGATGGAGCTCAGTGTTTCCCACCGGCTGTAGCGTTTTCCTGGATGGAGCTCAGTGTTTCGCTTATCTTCCTGAAGCAGGAGATCATAGAGGCCATGCTGTCCTCGAGAAACTGGCCGTCATCCGCAATCACAACACAAAATCAGGCCTCCAAACACAAGGAAAAGCTGTCGGGCGTAAGAACCCTACCACTCTCCCCCTCCTCCTCTGCCTCCAGCTTCGGCATCTCTTCAATCCTTCTCCTCACACTGTCGGTCAATATGGGAAGCCGGTCATCTGAAATCAAAGGCAAATGGCAAAATCAGGTCCCAAATACAAGGAGATTCGAGGTTTGGGGTTCAGTAGGGACTCTTACCGGTCTTCTCGAGATGGAATTCGAGGGAGGGCATCGGTAGTTCTACCTCCAGCTCCGGCGGCATCTCTTCGATCATATCCCTTATATATTCGGTCAATACGCGCGCCCCACAAGTCGGAAATCCTCTGCCTTACCTCCATCAGATTTCCTGGGCATGTGAGGAGAAGATCGATCCCCATTGTAGCGACGGATTGGCAGGAGGAATAAGGGTTGTGGTGGGAGGGAGGAAAGGGAGAAGATGGATTAGTGAGGTAGATAGAGCACATGAAAACGGGAGAGAGGAGAGGGTTTGAGAATCTCGATGAAGGGAAAATGTGAACGGGGATGTTTAAGTTAAAGCATCAAATTTGGGATGTTTAAATTATCAATAGAAGAAAATAGGTATCAGAATATGAAAGTAAATGAATAATTAGTTGGGGGACTAAAGAGGACGAATGAAAATGTAAGGGAACCGATCAATTATCTTTAATTTGTATTTTGTAAATAATTTTATCATAATTTATAATGACCGTCAGATTAGATCAACGGTGTGTAAAACCTGGAGCATACTATGTGTCTGGAGCACACGAGTCTTAACCATATATATATATATATATATATATATATATGGTGGCTACTTCGGTGCACTCACTTTTTTGGTTGCACTCAGTGCACCCATTTCTAAAAGTGTCCATAATACATCAAATTTTGAACTTTAATTAGTACTCTCAATCTAACATGATGATATGACATAAAATCATAACAAATCAATCTATTACCCTAACCTCTTAACCTTCAATTTTGAATCCCAATGCAAAATCTCAAACTGTAAACCTAAATCCTAACCCTAAACCCCTAAATACTAAATCCTTCAAATTAAAGTAAATCTTAAATGATTTTTTTTCAAATTCATGGGCTTATTGTTCATAATATCATAAGCAACAATTGATACCATTTTGACATGAATTGCATTCTTAGAATGATGATTATGAGACGGGTGCGCTGAGTGCACCCGAAAAAGTGGGTGCGCCGAATACGCCACCATATATATATATATATATATATATATATATATATATATATATATATATATATATATATATATATATATATATATATGTATGGGGCGAGTACAGATTTGAATATACGATATACAATATACAATTACTTGGTCATCAGAGCCATGCAAGATATATTACTTGATCATTTTGCTGCTGTAATGACTTTGGTCATGTCGTGTTGCGCTCTTTATGAGCTCCCCTAGTCACTTGTTTTTTTTTACCCCCATTAAATAAATAAAAAATGGACCCCACATTTTATATCTACAAGGTTTCCTTAAAATAAATGATTTATTAATTTATCGCATTTAATAAGGAACCCTTGTACCACTAGTCATGAACCTAAAGGTCTCAGGTTCGAATCCTTTTAATAGTACCTAATAACAAAAAAGTAACTTATATCACTCTTATCTAAAAAAAATAAGGAACCCTTGTTTGAAATTTTGTATTTTGTTCTAATGAGTTGCGTTGATTATAATAAATTATATCTTGTTACTCGACTAGATAACTGTATGTATGTACGATATGAAGATGGACAAGAGATTAACAGAGTTGAAGAGAGCGATCAATATGTATTTATGTATGATATGAACATGTACAAGAGATTCAAAGGCTTGAAGAGAATCGTTGATCTTGTTTGGACGAGGAATTACCACTACTACTACTAGATTGGGGCCAGCCCGTTGGCCGGATGAATTTCGTTAATAGTATAAATAAACATAGTAATTGTTCGAAGCAAGATATATTTTTATTTCATACCATAAAAATTTTCAAATCATTTAATTATCGGAAATATCATACTCCTATAATTTTCAATATGCCAAGCCAATTTCTTACTAAAGTCTTTATTGAAAGTAAAAAACAAAAGCAAGGCAAGAAAATTGATTCCTAAAGATTCAATCCGACTACACTATTTGCTCCTCATTGTAACAAATTATTACACATTTCATTTTAGATTCCATGTGATCGCTTCTCCTCTGCCCTCCAAAGAACCATCATCTCCACCAACTACAATGCATTTTTATACTATAACGAAACCTTTATCTTCACAGTAATTTGTTCCTTCTCTTTTTCTTTTCTATTTTCGTAGAAAGCTAATCTTTCATAGTAAAGTATTTTGAAACACTAAACATTCCACACAGTAGAATATATGTCTCATGAGCATTTTATGAGATTTATTCTTTCCCCAACGATAATACACAATTTAGCGATCAACATGATACTCTATAGATTAAAAACTTAATGAATAACCTTTAGGGGGTTGACTATTCTCCAATAAGTATGTGTATTTTTTCTTCTTCTTATATATATGCAGATTTTATTTTTCAATTTGTAAATCATGAGTTAAGCGGAAGTATCATGATCATTCTAAGTTGACTTTAGGAAGGTTGGGATCTTAGTCAAAGTCTAGTCAGCAAGATGATACCCACTTTCATGACAATCAAGCGACAAATTGATGGCGGGGATGATTAGGAATTGATGTATAGATCGTGTACCACTATAGATGAACTGATAGTTCATGAATGCTATTGTAGATGATGTCATAGGATGCTAGAATAACATATTATTTTTATTCCAAAAAATGTCAAAACGAAGGTTTTGTCTTCAGTGCACACTTTTTTGGGTGTATGATATGCGCTCACCTCATAATTGACATTCTAAGTACGTGATTCATGTCAAAATGAATTAAATCATTACTTGTATTGTATGATGGACAACAAAATACACCAATTTACAAAAAAATCACTCAACTTTGATTTGAATGATTTAGGATTTAGGAGTTTTGGGTTTGGGGTTTACAATTTGGGTGTAGGTTTAGGGTTCAAAATTGAAGGTTTAGAGCTTAGGGTCATTCATTGTTTGGTTATGATACTATATTATATCATCATATTAGATTAATAGTACCACTTAAAATTTAAACCAAACGCCTTTAAACTACTTTTAGAGTTGGGTGCATAGTATGCACTCCTTTGTGTGAGTGCAGTGTAGAAGCTACCCAAAATGAATATTATTCTATGTAGTATAATTATTTGATTTTTTAGTGAAAAGTTTATAATTTAAATTAGGACAAATGAAACATGACTAATTAAAAATCAATAAGGGAGTGATTATTCACGTTGAATTATACACCTCATCTATTAATAAATTATCAATAATCTAAATGGCCTAAATGATACAATGAAATAGAGCTGTTAATAAAAAAATTTATAAATATATAATGAATTCTACGGTGCACCATATCATCGGCTATTTCATTTTTAAAAATTATGGTACAAATTGAACTTATATCTTTAACGTTATAGTCAATTTCAAGTTGTTTCTATAATTTTCACACAAGTGCAAATTTAATTTGTACCTATATCTTTCAGTGCAAATTCATTTATGATACAAACTGAACGTAGAATCTTTAACGTTATGGTAAAATTTGCACCTATACATTTTGTACAAATTACTTTATAATACAAAATAAACTTGTATTTTTAACGTTATCCTAACTATAATAAATCATAAATAAATTATTTTGTTAATTTCATTTGCTAAAACAACAGTGGTGAATTAACCCCATGTAATTATTGGTGCTCATATAATTAGCTTCTACTTTGTGCCGCACAAGTGGTGATGTTGTCTTCCAAAAGAATTCTCCAGTCTCAAGTTTGCAATGAAAAGAATAATGGGTCTGGCCCATTTCGGTCAATAATTATACAGTTCAATTTTTTCCAGTCCCAAGTTTACAATGAAAAGAATAATGGGTCTAGCCCATTTCGGTCAATAATTATACAGATACATTTACGAAAGTCTCCTCCAGTGAATCGCGGATAGAGCAGGAAAAGAGGAATTAAGGGGGTTCCAGCCAAAAACCTCCATATAATATTGTTAGGATGTGCGCATATGCAACAACCGTGACCGAGGCAATGAATTTGGTCACTAACCGTCATAGGGATGATAACGTTTCTTTGTATTCTGAATTTGTCTCGGATCATAACTTAAATAACAAGTAGGCTTTGTGACCGAGAATCAGAATTCAGTGCTTATTTTACTCGAGGTGTGGGGCAAAACCCATGACCAGTTTGTTTTGCTTAATCGTCAGGAGGACATTCTGCACACAGAAGTCGTTGGAACTCATTCCCGAGTTCCAATAACAAATGACCGTTCCAGGGTCGAAAGCATCGCGTTGGCCTCGCAGTAGCTAGCAACAATAACTCAATCTACTGCAGCCTGGCGTGGCTGGCATTTTGCGCTGCTGCTTATGCTAGAGTCGCTCGTTTGCCCTTTGCATCCCTCACCTGCATGCATATTCAGTACCATGGTTAGTAAATGGACATGTAGTGCGATACTGCGATGCCGGAAGCTGAAAAGCAGCTGCTTCCAGACAATGACGTGAGAGACGGAGAAATGAGAACATCAACCTGTGCGTCAACTGATCTTTTGGAATCCAAGAACTGGCTATAAATGCCGTACAGTCTGTGTTTCTCTGATTCAGAAATCGATGGTCTTGCTTTGGAAGCAATTGCTTTTAAGACGGAATCAGTTATCACCGGCTTTTTCACAGGCTCGTGGTTGTCGGAGGTGGTGCTGCTCAAAAATTCATGAACTGCAGCAAGCTGTGCGTCAGATAGTAGAGCTTGTAGGTCAGCTCCACTAAATCCCTCTGTAATCTGAGCCACGCTGTGTAAGTTCGTATCTTCAGACAGTGGCAGCTGCATTCAGTGCGCAAAAAGAAACCAAGTCAAACCACCGAATAAAGAAAACCCCACCCTGTCATTCTGTGTTCAGTTTTATATGGATTCTGGAAAAGGAAAGAGGGTGCAGAGTAGTACACCATAGAAATTAAATCAATCCAAACTATTTAGATCTGAATTTTCAGGGAGAATTCTAGCAATTCAGCCATTGAGGACATAAAAGGAGACTCGAACTTTCTTGGTGCATCTTGTCTGACATAAATGAAACAACCAAGTCATGTTAACATTCATTCTAGCAGCTGCTACTTCTATTGCCCAACATTTCAAGCATCTAAACTTATGCAGGATAGAATGTTCACGCACTAGATCACACTGTGCACATGGAGAAACAAAGAAAAGAAAGACAGAATGGACAGTATTCTTCCACTAACCTTTCTGCATAGAACTTTAAGAATATCCAGCCTCTCTTGCTGAGATGGAAAATCACAGAAAAGAAGCCTATCGAGCCTACCGGGTCTCAACAATGCAGCATCAAGCAGATCAGGTCGGCTGATTGAAGAGGACAATCAAAGGATGAAACAGAAAGAATCAGGGCAGCCCATTAAAATTGCATTGTGGAAGAAAAACTACAACTTCTTGGGACAAACCTTGTGGCAGCAAATACAAAAACACCAGTCAAAACTTCAACACCATCTAATTCAGTCAGAAACTGGAAAAAGAAACATTTCGTAAGACACCAAATGTATAAAGGCAAACCCACAAATAAATCAAAGAGAAACGTACTTGGTTGACTACACGATCAGTCACACCAGTATTATCATGTCCTCGTTTAGGAGCAATTGAATCAAATTCATCAAAGAAGAGAAGGCAGGGTGCTGCGGCAGCTGCTTTTGAGAAAATATCACGAACCTGATACAAAGCATAGCCATCTGTTGGACCAAACTCTCTTTATCGCAGTCACATTGAACTAATATTTGCAGGAAAACACTGCTTATGTTGAGAGAAAGAGTAGTTACATGTACATGTGGAATCAGTCACTGCTAACTAAATTTCAAATCTCTCACAACTAGCAGATAAAATAAGGTGTCGCTTTTACCGCTGACAGAAACTCAATTGGCTCATAAGTAATCTCAAAGTGAACCCACACGACATTTTAGGTGCAACAGATTTGGTCCTTGAATGCAAAGGCTGCTGGAACTTGGATATGGAAAAGATTACTTAAGTGTAGAAGTGCTGTGCAGCAGTATTTCTCTGTTTCTGATAATGAGGTTAAATGGGATGATGGAGCAATGCACAGATATTCAGTAAAAAGAGTGTGGGAGTCAATTAGAGAGAAGGATGCTAAGGTTAACAGGTTCCCTCTGGTATGGAGTAAAGAGATCACCCCAAAACATGGTTTACCCTGTGGATGGCCATTCAGAACCGTTTGGTGTTTCAGGACAAGTTGAAACAGCGGGGGAAGAATGTGACAGGAATTTGCTTGTTATGCCCTGGTGGGATTGAGGATCAAAACCATCTCTTATCTCAATGTTCTTACACAGTTTTTGTATTACACAGTTGCCTGAAGAACAGAGCTCCTCCTGTCTATCTTGATTGGAAGGCTACCTTAGAATGGTGTGTGCAGAGCTGGTCCAAAAAGGTTCCTGCGGACAGAATCTGTCGACCGATTTGGTGTGTTTCTTTGAGCTTAATTTGGAGGGAGAGATGTTGCAGAATGTATGGTGCAAGAAGAGCTAAGAATCCAGAACTGCTTTGTCATGAAGTGCAGAATGTAGTAAGGTGTCGAGTGGCAGGGATTCAGGATCTCCAAAATGACTTTGACAGCCTAGAGTTTGGATGGTAGTTAGTGATACTAATATAGTTTTTTCTCTCACAGAGAGTTGTTTTTGTTTGTTCATCTGTTGATGTTTGTAATAACTTTGGTTTGAGAGGCTGCTGGGTTTATTTGCCCAGAAAGCCGGTTCTTAATGTTAATTTTTTTATTTGATTATAAAAAAAATATATATAGATGATCTTAGAAAGAGAAAGGGTCTTTAAGCCAGTCATAGTTAAACCCAAGAGCCTTTCCAGCATTTGGAAGGGGACTGAGACCTTTGCTTTACTTTTTTCTGGATGGAGAAAGTATAGCTACTTTTTTTGGTTCCATCAACCTAAGAAACCAACTCTTGCGTCTAAATCTATGTTATACACGTCTAGTGATAATCATCCTACTTCTCCTGAGCTTTAGTGTGCAGATCCCTAAAGTAAGATCTCATTCCTATGAAGAAGAACAAATGGTAAAGATGCAATGCAAGCAGTAGCTGAAGCATTTTAAAAGGTACACAAGAAATTCACATGTTTAACAAAAGGCAGCACCGTATGAGAATTAAGCAATCAGTTTCTGTAGCACAAGCTATAAACATAAAAAGGAGAACAATCACAAAGAAATAAAACTATTATTCCATTTGCAAGAGAAGAGAAGATTGTAGGCATACCGCTTGCTCAGAAGCACCAATATATTTGTTTAACAGCTCAGGTCCCTTCACTGATATAAACCGCAGTGAACAAGCAGCAGCAGCAGCACCAACGATGTGAGTCTTGCCGCAACCAGGAGGACCATAGAGAAGAACATTTGAACGCAACCTTAAAGGAGCTTTTGCAAAGATATTTGGGAATCTTGATGGCAATTCAATCATCTGATATATAATACAGTGGTTAACATACAAAGATTCAGCATTGGAACTCTTTTCCAGCTAAAAGTGGTCATTACAAGTACAAGACAACTATGGGATCACCACATCAATCTTGTCTACATATCCAAGGCCATAAGTAAAATGCTAGTGTTTAGTAAATTGAATTAACAGCATTGGGTAGCTAAACCAATTAACAGAAAACTTGCAGTAAATGATTAAGAAGAAAATCACTTGGACAAGCCGAAGAGCAAAAGGAAACTAATAGGAAAAAGAGATTTGGAAATATTCTTAAGGCACAAAATACAGGGACTTGACATTTGGTTCCTCAAATGTATGAAACACGAAGAAAAGATAATATAAAACTATACCTCTCTTATAGCATTCCTCACATCATTCAGTCCACCAACATCTTCCCACCCAGCACGGCCACCTTCAGAAGCTGATTTAGTAATATCACGCATAGCAACTGGAAGGAACCCATCCATTGCCCTTGAGAAATCGCCCATAAGTAAGGTGGATTTTCCAGGCTCTCCATTAGAATAAGGAAGAAAGCGACCAACAGCAGCATGTACAGCTCTATCAACCAATATTTCCTGACACAGTCAAAGTGCATTTTGCCAAGTTAAACCCTCCATGAGCACATAGTCTGTCAGGAAAACAATTTGAAATTGTAAAATTCCAATGGACGATTGGCAATACTTATGGTAGCACATAATCGAAGAATAACATTTGATACACGGCAATGACCAGAGGACAAAATTTTCCTGTCCGTTTTTTCAAGTGTCCAGATGGGCTTCCAGGCACCAGCCTTTCTCAACTCGCGCTGATCAGCGGATCACAGCTTAGACCGAAGATTCATGCAAAAATGATTGGCTGGTTTGAGTAGGTGAGGGTTTAGAATGGAATATAAAAGACTCTTTTGTATCAAACAAAAATAATGTCACTAGTGTTCTACAGCTTAGAACCGAACACATGATAATTGCACCCATAAATTGAATATCATATAGCAGGAAAATTTTGGTGCACTAGTTGAAGTATAGTGTCCGTAACCAAACATAATGCTTATATGAATTGTGAATGGCTTAGGTGAGCTCCCCTATATCTAATTGAGTTGATACGTTTATATAATAACCCCTAAACTACTGTGGTCATAAACCCTTTTAAAATAAAATACAGAAAAAACCACCAAAACATTAAGAAACTCCTAAGCCAATATAATGGAAGTTCAATTTGGCACTGGATTCATTTCCTCCTCTCTATATGAATATAAGGAAAGGCGAGAACCCATGTAATTACGTACTATGAGAGCAATTTAATAGGGTATTCCACCATCCCCAACTGAAGAAACATAAAAAAATCTTTCACATTAAACATCGAGAAAAATGAAAAAGAACCAGTAGCCTTACCAGATCATACGCATCATAACCATCACATTTGGATGCTACATCCAACAAAATTTCTTCTGGACAATGTAAGGAACGCCTCTGTATTTCATGCTTCAGTATAGCCCCACGTTCAGATGCAGCAGGAGCAGGAAGTTGCACATGGAAGTCAAACCTCCCTGGTCAGACATCAATGGCAACAAGAAAAACTATTAGTGAGCAGTCTGAGAAGCCAATGAATGATCTCTAGAGAAACAAAAGAACCTGAAGAGCTCAGTGATTGTGGGATATTCTCTAGTCTTTGCAGAGAAGCTATAAAAGCAATTGGACCAGTGCCACATGAGCCATTCCTCTTTTCCTGCTCAAGAAAACATCAGATAAGCTAAATAGGAGATGAAAACTCAAGTAATCTTGACTGACCAAAGTATTTACTTCATAATCCAAGTAACTGACATCATGATACACACTGATGCAATCATATGCCGGCGCAAGAACTTCTTACGGTGACATCTATATACATGTGATATGAGAAAAATAAATTATACTACTTCAACTGTTAAAGCACGAAAAGGGTGAAACATATCCTCATTAATCATAGCAAGTTGAATTCATGCAAGAGAAACAATAATGCTAGTGGGAAAAATCCCAGTGTCATATCCTGTTAGACAATCTCCTTTCTTCTTCTCCATACTACGACTTTAATCTAGCATCATCTGAAGAAGTTTGTACATAGAGCTACCATTACAAGCCACATTCTGAGATTGAACGACCTCTTGCTTAGAAGCTTATATTTCTTCTTTCAGGAATGATGGAGTAATACAATCTTATCTTAACAGTGAAGATGAAGTAAGCAACAACCAGAAGACATTAGATCACTCAGAATCCAAGAGAAAGATCCCGAACAACAAACTGAATGCAGAGAAAGAGTTGTTTCTTATATTTTGAGCAATACTACAAGGCACCTTTCCCAGGTACATCACATATTGAATAATAATTGAAAGTATCTGAAAATCAAAATAAACAATGGCAACAACCCCAAAAGCACTAGAAGCCAAGGGAAGCAGACTGAAACATATACGAGCGAAAAATGCAACACATTTAAAATAAAATGACACAGCTAAAACAATAAAAGTATAGTGCATACCCCATATTCATCAATAATATCAGCTAGGTATTTTGTCAATGCAGCAACAGAAGTCGAAGGTTGAGATCCTTCAGAATCAGAGGCTGAAACGATGCTATCAAGATCATCGAAGATTACAACAGATGGCGCATAGTCTAGCGCTTCAGAAATGGAAGCTGAAAGTTGTTGACGAATGGCTGAAGCCTTCTCCGAAGCAAGGGAAGAGCAGTTTACGAATACCCTGCAGACAAAAGCTCATTCCGGGGTTAATAAAACTCCCAGTACAGTTATCGAAATGCTGGTTTTCTCATGGGAAAATAAAAATAATCGGAAAAAGAACGCAAGTTGAAAGAGCTCATGGTAGGATACAGGAATACTTACACATGTGATAATATATCTTTATGTCTTTCAAGGAAACTGGCCACAGATCTTGCTAACATAGTCTTCCCAGAACCCTAATAAAAATGAATATCAACATTGAACATAGTGGAATATGATGGGTATGAACTAAGAATTTTCAGGTTGAGAAAATAAAGACATCTGAAGTGGAATATGATGGTTATATATTACATGGGGTTAGCATTGATGCAAGAAAACCTATGAAACATAGGCACTATAATACCAAAAATACTAACAAAGTTGAGAAGCAAACCAGTGTGGTTGATTGAAGCCTAAAGATATCTTATTCAGAAAAATTATCTGTTACTATGCTCTCCCATTTGCAACAAGCGCACAACAGAGAGAACCACTGATCACGACTTAGAAAGAGTTTGTCTGGGAAATGCAGCACAACGCCTCTTTCGACAATACAACACCATAGTCTCCTAGACATCGATGGGGATACCTTTTGTTGCGGTTCTCAGCTTGCATTTACCTCGTTTTAAATTATTTGGTGAACGTTGTTAAAAGACGCTTTTATCATTATTAATAATTATTAATAGTAGTATTAGTAGCAATTATAGGGGGAGTTGGCTGCTAAGAAAGGGCAGAGTAGACTAGGGTTATTATTAGGATTTTGGAGCTTTTTCTTATAAATATGTACTCTGGGTCTTTCTTTCAAAATTAAGAAGAAAATGGAAGAAGTTAAACCAAAGTATCTTTCTCCCAAATAATCTTAATTCTACTCTCCTCACTATCTAGGTTGTAGGCTTCTTGATCCTTTTTCCCCCAAATTCTTCCTCCAAATCTCTAAATTTTGTTACCAAGCTCTCTGATTCTCCTCTTTAAACCGTAGATCTACCCCAATATCAGTAATTCTATCGTTTCTTCTTCAATGCATTCTCAATTCCAAGAATCTAGCCTATATCTATAGGCATTGATGTCTAATGCATTTACATTAACTAGACACTTAGAGCAAGAACATGTTTACTTCTGAAGCTACTCGTAAATAATAATCTTAAAAATATTAAGGCAACAGGGAACAGAAACTATCTAGGAAAAAAAATTAAACAGAGTCTGTAGATCAAAAACAAAATAATCAAAATCATAATAAGAATAAGAATAAGTATAATGGCACAGAAACTATTTAACAGATAAATTTCACCCACATGAGGTCCATATATCAGAACATGGCCAGGGAGAGGAAGTTTGTGACTGCCAAACCACAACCCAGAGCTAGGAGATAGCAAGACATTCACTCCTGCATTGAGAAAATTTGTATCAGGAAGACTTCTAACCGATTAAAAATCTTACGAAGCATGAAAATGGATGAGCAACGTGTGATGATTAAAGAACAACTCATTTAACCCGACTTACATCCATTATGTACTCAGGTTTCCATGAGTATCAAAGGTCAAAAGACAACTTAGTCTGAAGAAATAAATCAATACTAGTTTGTATTAGAAACTTGAAAGAATGCAATATGGCCCACAGCAGACAATTTTTTCCTACTAAGACCAACATTATTTATTAAGTGTTTGTGAAACCGTACTTGCGATCCGACTGGAAAAACCTCCTACTGGAGCCTAAACCTGCAGGCGGTTTTTTGCAATATGAAATGATTGACCCACTGTTCAACCATAATTTAAGCCCAAAACACCATACCGCTAAATTTTCCGGTACAACCTCTGGTACGGTTATACAATCCTTGCGAGGAAAGTGTAGTAACACTTTCCGGAAGGTATAGTACAACCTCCGATATGGTTTTACACAGCCAGGAAGGTGTAGTAACACTTTCTAAATAGAGAAGGCAGGGGTACTTATTTATGACCAGGTACAAACAAAAAGATTGCAAGGAGAAAGTACCTACTATTAATAACATCAGTTAGAGTTGATCCCATCCAGCTCAAAGTGGACAAATCTGATTCAAAGTCCTTTCCGGATACCCTTTCCTTGGTAGAATAGAAGGATAGAGGTTCACCAAGTTCAAGATTGCTGAGCAACTCCTCGGGTATCAAATGATCTCTTTTGCTCTTATCAAAGGAAAGTTTATATGCACATACATTTTTGTCATCTGAAGAATCCTCTGAAGCATTCAGCACAAACAGGTACTTAACTGGCTTTTCACCAAGCTTATCTTGTACGTCTAAATTTGAATCAGATGGTTCCAGTAAACTGTGCCTTCCAGACCCATAGTCAAGTCCTCTCATTTCAAAGTGCATTACAGTCTCATCTCCTAAAGTCAATGAATTAACCTCTACACCAGAGGCCGAAGCAATTGCTTCAAGTTGTGCAGCCACCCATGCATGAAGAAGTATGCCTAAAGTCTTTCTACTATCAGAACCACATACTCGTTCTGCACCCTCTGCATGAGGAAAAACAGATGAAAGAGTAGCTATGAAATCACCATGCGTGAAATGATCTGTTTCATTTAAGTTATTTCCTGAACTAATTCCGGAAGGCAGCATTTGAAGCTTTTCCATTCTACGACTATTATGCACTTCCATGCCAAATTCTCCCTTCTCACCATCCCTTCCAAGCATCTTAATGTGGCAGGGAGACAGTGAGAGCAAGGGAATATCCTCCTTGAAATTACCATGGTATTCTTTCACATGCACCCCTGGAAAAAACACAAAAGAATCAACTCAACCCAAGGGAAATTGGCAGATAAAATCAACCTTTGTCTGTTATGTCTGAAAAAGCTAACAAGCTACATTCTCAAAGCAAATAAGTCTCCAAACTTGTCTATTGGAATGTCAAGGAGAATCCACGTACATGAATGCAGGCCAACTCTCATGCTCAAACGAAGAGACTCAGCTATCATTAGATGCCCTTTGGATACAGAGTCAGAAAAGAGAAGATGAATAATTGCTCGACGAGATACTTTCCTGCTTGTCCCATCTTTAGGTGCTGAAGTGCTTTTCATTCTCGATGCATCATTGTCAACCCTCTCTCTTGATAATTTTGGAATAAGAATAATCGACTGAAGAGGCTCAAACAAAAAGTATTTAGCAGTTTCGGGGTTAATATAAGCAACAGTAGTTAGTGCAACCCCCAAATCAGCACCTTTGACATTACATTTCTGAAACAATCTTTTATCTGAATCTTGAATACGCAATAAGGCCTCCTTAACATTGCGTTGCTTGTCAGATGAAGCATCTGATTTATTCACAAGCTTTTGTCGTCTCTTGGGAGCAACTTCTACTTCCGTATCATGAACAAGTTGTACTGTGGACACCAACAATATATCACTATATAAGGCTCAAAGAAAACTGAGCTTTAAAAATCAGTCATGGGCACTAGAAAGATCCTAATAAAGCAGACTTTGAACACTATTTACAAGAAAATATCCAAGAAGAAAGGAACTGCCGCCAATCGAGCTACTCCTCAAAACTGCTCAACATTATGATTCTCAATCCAGTAAGTCTAATAAGAAACTCAACCAAGAAGCACCAGGATTTCAAATTAAGAAAGTGAATTAATTTCAAGTCACTAGTGTGCAACCAAAGGGAATGAAATCGTAGATGTACCTACTGCTTTTTTGGGAACAGTCGAAACCACGCGGAAGGTAACTACAGAATGGCCATGCAGCCACAAGGGAAATCTCATTGCCTCTTTGACAATTTTGATCTGCATGTGGACAAACAAAGTATCAAAGATATTATCCGTGACCGGCGACTTCAACATTGATGCATGGAACAGTTTATAGAAGACTAGCTGTGAACTTGGCTTGTCACAAACATCAAATACCAGGAGACCTCTTATCTTCGCCCATTCCATTGGTGACTGAAAACCTGGTCTAGTGCTTACAATTGAGGAGGAGATGAAGAGAATGCCTAAGTTTTTGGAAAAGTAGCTGGCGGATCGGAAGGATGTAGAGTCAAACCTAAAGGACATTCCTACTGGAATAAACCCAAAACTCATGGACATATCTGGTGTATGTTGTTTGGGCCACCTCACCGTGAACACAAGGGGAAATAACTAAACCTTGAAAGGGGAGCTGCTGGACTATCAAACAACATAAGGAGCAAAAATGAAGCTGGTGGGAAAAGGCGAATCTTAGGGAAATCTTTCACAGTCATATTGGCTGCCCAATTGGAAATGGCAGATCAACGCTCCGTCTCTACCTTCCAATATTCCTATGGGACATCATAGAGGAGTTGCTTCCACCCAAAATGCAAAAGAGAATATGTTAGATATAAACATGCTGTTTGTGGCATCACACACAGGTAGGAACTTCAAGAACACATCACATGAACCCATTTCTGATGGAAAATTCTCCATTTTATTTCCAAGGAACAAAAAACAGAAACTGTTATCAGCAGACATATCTCTCAGCACACATAACTTTGACGGAAGTGATACCATCTCAATTCAAATTATAATCAGATTTCAATAATTTAACTAAAATGCAGTAAGAAATAAACTAAAACAACTCAAGCTTACCTGGCTTAACATGGATGCCTCAGCGAACTCTGCTTTGAGCTCCATAACTTCCCAGTCGTCTTCGGTATCAGGCTCTACCATCACTCGTTCAGCACGTTCCACATTTGACACAACTCGAACTTGTACTCTTAGATGATCAGGCAACAAAATGCAATCCGCAAACTGCCTACCGATCTTCATAGGCACCACCACCACATATCAGATAATAGAAAACTGTTAAGATTACATACCCTAACTAAAAACATTCCAGTAAATAAAACTCAGATTATCTACCTCAATAGCAGCAGAAGACGAAGTAGCACCAGACCAAGAGACCGTCCAGCTCCGCTGCTGGTCAGCAGTGGGGCTCAATGAGCGAAGCTCAATTACGAGGAGCTGAGGCTGAGGGAGAAGAGTCGGGCGGAGAGATTCCAAAGTCTGGATGAGTTGCAAAGGAAGGGCTACAAAGCAGTGCTCTGCTCCAGAAACATGCCATACTTCGAACTCCATAAAAAGAGAAAGCTTCTCCAAGGATCATGAATCAAACCTGTAACCATAAAATTTTCACGAATTTCAGAAACGATCAACTCCAGTGTAATGTTCAAGAAGGAACTAGGCGCGCTAACTAGGCGGGGAGGCACCGCCCAGGGAGATTAGTCGTTGCCTAGGCAGATTCGAAGTTGGATGCGGTGATTTTTAATTTCCAGTTGGTTGAATGAGGGAGACCTGGGTTGCCGCGACGATGAGGAGTGGGTGCAGAAGAAAGACGCTATCTGGTCGATGAACAAGACAATGATGCCGCGAAGAACCAAGTAGGGGTGGGCATCGGTTCGGTTTGAACACCGAACCGAAAAGATGGATACCGGGTCTTCCACATACTTCAAACTTGAAACCGAACTCGAACCGAAATATAATTCAGTTCGGATTGTCCGAACCGGATTATATTCCGGTTCGGTTCGGGATCCCGACCAAACCGGACATTTATATGAAAATGCATCCACCCACTTTTTCATCTAAAACTTTTCCCCCCACTCTGGTCCTCTCTCTCTCCATCTCCCTCTCTCTTTCTCTCTGCCCAATCCCTCTCTTTCTCTCTATCCAAACAACGATCTACCCAAACGCAGAGACGACGGCGAGTGAAGCTCAAAGCAAAGCACAACTCAGCGATTGACAACGGCAGGCAGCAAGGCGATGCACGATGCTGGTGGCAACGGCGATGCACGACGCTGGAGGCAACGGCAATGGATGTCGGCGATGGTGATGACCGACGACGAAGGTTAGAGGTGAGTATGGGTCAGATCTAAACATGCATGAACTTTTTTGGGGTTTGCTTTTCTCCGTCGAGCTTCAATAGATATTCTCTGTTTTCGATTTTAGGTGGAGAATGAATTTGTCGCGGCGGAGAAGAGAGTGCGGTGAGCCATGGAAGAAGCACGGCGAGGACGTTTGTGTGGTCTGTGGTGGCTGCTGGAGAGCAGGTGGCGGCGCGGTGGCAGTGGGATAGGGATAAGGGTAAAGGGTGGGAGGTTAGCGTTGAGAGAGCATAAAAGGGTTGGACTTAGGGTTTTGTGAGGTCTGGGCTGGGGAGAGCCGAGAGTGGATTGTGGTCAGTGGGGGAGTGGGTTTTGGGCTGTGTGGGTCTATGGGCTAAAATGTTGTTTATTAATTTTGTAATTTCGGTTTTTCGGTTCGGCTGTTCGGAAATCGGGTTCGGTTGTGTGACCTTGGTTTCCGAAATATGGCTTTTCTCTTTCCGAATTTCGAAACTAATAACATAAATTTTGGTTTCGGTCGATTTTGGTTCGGTCAAATTCGGTTCGGAGAGTCAAACCCGAACCGGATGCCCACCCCTAGAACCAAGCGATGGAAGAATGAGCCAGACGACGACGCCGCGACAAACCTGGACTCGAAGTCTCCAGTCGAAATCCCAGTTCCGGTGAGTTCAATAAATTGCCGACGTTAGCCGGAACCCTAAACCCAAATACAATCAATCTAAACCTAGCACTCGAAGAACTCAAACTATAGGCTCATATGAACATCTCCACCCCAATTTATGATAGAAGATGGACAGAAGATGGAAATCGGGGGAAGACGAAGTAGAAATTGCAATTATTATTACTAGTATGTACCCGGCCGATTGGTCGGAGTGTTTGAGTTCATCACTTAAGAAAATATTTTAAGTTAGTTTTTTCTCAACGGTTCCTACTTAAATATTTTATCGATCAAATTGTTTAATTTTGACCATACTATGAGTCGATTTATCTATCATTATATTAATCAAAATTTCAACTTTGAAGTTCTTTTATATGGGGTTTATGTCAATATATTCTCACCACTTTAATACAATAAAGAAAACATCACATAATTTGTACCATTTAAACTCCTTAATTAGATCCAAAGTTTATGAGTAAGTTATGCTCGCCTTCAGAAACACAGACTATACACCTAAATAACTTATATTAACTTTCGATTTCATGATGTATGATAAAGAATTTAAATGCGTAACTTCTCTTTTCCTTTTCAAAAAATTCATCATCTTTATGTCACACTATTTTATGTGTGTTCTAATTCCTATACTGAGAAAACCCAACAAAACCTTAACCCTCATTCAACTTTCTATTGTCTTAATCATAGAAAATCCTCAAATACTAAATCATTAAAACTATCAATGTTAAAATCAAAAGACTGCACCCTGTATCCAAAATTCTATAAATGACATAATAATTAAAACACTTTTTGATTTTTTGTTAACCCATTTAGAATTATTAAAAATCAATGAAACTATAAACACTAAAACTTAACCGATAATAGGACTAAAAAGGAGCTTTTTAACCAAAAATCTACGCTAAATTGCAAATGAATTAGATAAAAAAAAAATTATTCAACACCATTCTTATCACTATGGGTATGGGCGCATGGCAAAAGCCAAAAGATAACCAACTTTCAATATAACGTGAGGTTTTTTTGCCTGGGAATAAAAAGAAAAGAAAAAATATGAAAATGTAATTACTATTATGCCCTGACCGAAATTTAAGGAGAGGCCTGCAAATTTGAAATGGAGAAAATTTCATAAAACTCTAGTATATTATATTGGAGGATTATTGTTATTTATTTTTTAGTTTATTATGATAATGATGTGGAATTTTAAAAACATTTATTTTATTATTTTAAAATTGTCACGTCACTTATTTAACAGTCAACTTTCAGAGTTGACTGTCACGTAAGTTAAAGTTAACGAAGACTAACGGAGAGTGACCAAACTTGAACTGTTGAACTAATTTAAGTGACTATGGATGAAATAAAATTAATTTTAATGGCAAACATGAACTCTTTAAGTAATTCCAGTGACCAAACTTGCAATTTACCCCAATTCTTTAACATAAAATTGGATGAAAGGGTACAATTTAATAAAGGTGTACGTTTGTTAACTGACAATAGTAAAACGGGTACAAAATTCTATTAACCCTTAACATAAACATTTGGGCTAATACCACTAGAAATATAAACCTTTAGCGAAAGTGCCATTTATATTATGAAATTTTCGATATGACAATTGTATACCAACCGTTAAGTTTTCCATTAGGGGTTAACAGAAAATACAATCAACAATGACATGGCAGCTGACGTGGAAATTTGTAATAAAAAAATGTAAAAAAAAAATCAAAGCTCGTCCACCACCGTACCCTACCTCACCGCTCAGCCTCTCCCTCTTTCTCACATCTTCAAGCCGTCGCCTCCACCCAGCTTCAACGTCGCCGCCGCCATAGCCATCGTCAACTCTCGCAGATTGGGTTTTCGATGCAACCACTTCTCAAACTACATCACCTCGAGGTAAGGCGGCGGGTTCGAGTCATTGAAGAACTACTCCACCGGGTTGAACTTTTCCTCCGACTCGTTCCTCAAATACAGTCGCCAGGCCAATCGCCACAACGAGGTCTTCTCCAACTACGCCACTGATGGCAACGTCGCCAACCCCAGCTTCGGAACGGCTCCAGATCTATCGCCGACAATTTCAAGAACTACCAAAACTGAGTCAACGTGCCTGGTCTCCGCTTCACCACCTACGACTCTGTCAGCAACGACCACAAGCTCGGTTTCTCCAGCTACAGGGACAACACCAATGCTTGCTCCCAGTCCTTCACCAGAAACGCCAACACCCTAGATGCTTACAACAACTATTCTAAAATCCACGCACAACTGTGAATCGATTCACAATTTCAATTCAAAATTGAGTTTCAGAGACAATTGATTGGGTCTTTCGAATTCGGCTAAGAAGGAAGCAAAATTGATTGTTGGGAAGAAAAATAAGTCAAGGCGGCTACTTCATTCTTCTTCAAGAACCCAGAATCATCTACCTCAGGAATCCAAAAAACGATGATGGTGGAACTACGGGGATCTCGTTTGCTTGGATTTGTGGGGAGCACTAGAAACTCTCGCGATTTCGTCAAGCCAAGAGAAGTGACCAGGGGCATTCTTTGTCGAATGAAGCCTGCAACTGACGAATAACCCTCACAATTGGGACTGCTACTTTGCTCCAGATCGCCATAGGATGTGTCGAATGGTGGAGGGGAGGAGGGTTTGTCGCATTGGGTGGGTTAATTTGAGGGAAATGGTTAATTTGAGGTGGGGTGATTATTCTGGTAATTGGAAGGGGTGGGGGTGGGCTAATTCAAGTGAGGAGCTTCCTCTGTAGTGGTCGTCGCCGACTGTGGGGAGGGAGGGAGGGAGAGAGAGAGAAAGAAAGAAAGAAAGAGAGGGAGGGAGAAAGAGCTGATGTGGCACTTAGGTGGATGATAAATGGTGCCATGTCATTAAGAGTCAAACATGTTTTTGACTTCTGTTAGGTCAATCGTCAATTTTAACGCTCAATCAAAAATTTGCGTAACACAAATGACGCAAATACCTAGGCTAAATTACATGTTTGGTCACTCAAATTATACAAATCTTTCACGTTTACCACCCGAATTACTTTTCTTTCTTATTCGTCACTAATTTTACGAATCATTTCACCGTTGGTCACCGACCGTTACACTCCGTTAACTTTGTCCTACGTGGCAGTCAACTATAAAGTTTGACCGTTAACTAGATGACGTGGAAATAAAAAATAATAATTTATTTTCCACCTCATCATTTCAGATTTATCATACTAATTATTTAATAATAATTAACTAAAAAATAATATGATAAATAATTAATTTTTATTTATTTATCATGACCCTCACCACCATCATCACACTCCCGCTACTCCTCTTCCTCTCAGTATCAACCCCATATCAGTTATATATGTTTTTAGTTTGATTGAATTTGATGCAGGGAATGTACAGATACATTGGCTGGTAAGAGAATTTCAGTTGTCATCTTATCTGATCTCAATTCATAACTGCCATGTATTCTGCTGACTTCTGTTGGTTTCTGTGGGGGGCGGAGCTATTTTGTGTTGTGCTAACAGTACCATCTATACCAATTACCAACTGCGTTTCCTTTTTGCCCTGCTCCAGCTGATGTGGACAAAGCTGTATGTTCTCCACTTTTTCCCCGTAGCACACTACGATATCACGAAGTTGCTGAGAGGAACTCCCAGAAAAGAAAAACACAGGTACAGGGCAAGACTCACCTGCCAAGATGAAGTTGCTCCGCGATCTCACGATGCCCACTTCCTGCCACGTAGCGTCGCCGGCAAATGGAACGCCGCCTACACCCGCTCCAGCTGCAATGCCACGCCAGACGTCTGCTACACCTCCCTCTCCCACTACTCCAGCACCGACCTCCG